AAAGAGATAATAAAAGTAATAAAATTGAACAAATAATACATAAAATTATTAAAAAGCTTTGAACACATGGTTAATTTTTTTTAAAGTAAGCGCTCTCTGATCAAGCTTGTGCAATTTTAGCATTACGTTTGATCATGACTATAGAGAATTTAAATTTAGATGGGACACACTGCTTTCTAATAATTAAAACTTTAGATCACACATTTGTTAAACGTCTAAGAGATTAAAATGAAATCGATATAAAAACTGCATAAAATTTATTTCAAAATAAAAGTGTATTCAATAATTAGTAAACTGTCGCAATATTACATATATATTCGTATATACAACTAGGGATAAAAGAATCATTAGAGCTACTTTTGAGTACACAATCATGTTTTTGTTTCATGATGCAGCCTACTTTTTAAGTACCGTATAGAAGAAATTCAAGAAAAATTTTCTTTATTTTAATACTTATTTTTTTATTACACATATTTTTAGAAAATATTGTCTTTCTTTTTATTTTAATACATATTTTTATTGTACTTCATATGGATGTAAAACCATTTCTATTAATGTAGAAAATACAATAATAAAAAATATATAATTTTACTTCTTTTAAACTTTGATTGAATTTGGTACACTATAAAATAACAATTTCTTCGTTATAACTAAATTTGTTTGAAGGTAATTATTAGCTTATAATGTATTAATTGCAATCATTTAAGAATCGAACAATCGGGACATGATTGATTTTAAAAATAATATTGACTGCAGACAATTATAACGTTAATGCGAAATAAAAAATAATTTTCAAAATATTAATTTATTAAGAATGTAAAATTATAAATTTTAATGTAACAACAAATTCACAATATAAAACGAAACTTTTATATTCCCATTTCTGTGTTTCATTAGTTCATTTTTGCCATTTTTTAGTTTTTTTATCTCTCTTAGCTTCTTATTCGTATCTTTCTTTTTTTATTCTGTATTATTTCTTTCTGATTTAATATAACAGTTATTAATTATTTTTCAAATAAAAAACACTAATCATATAAAAAGAGGAGATTTGCAAAATTTAATACAAAAAGTAAGATCTTTTTGTATATTTTATTATCAGTATTATCAGTATTATCACAGACGCATAGCAAGCACTAGAACGACGGTTCCAATCCATCCACTTGCTTAATATTTTATTTTCTGTTTATATTTTTAATTTGGGTAATATTCAATCTTTAATCTATTGTTCGTCAGCTTATTCACAGAAACAAATATGGACTTTTTTAGATTCTGTTTAGCGCATGCCTCGACTATTGGCGTATGCATACACTCACCACTTCCAAGTTTTTAACGGTCAATTTAAAAAAAATCTACCATTCTTTCGAGAAGAAATTATTACAACTTAATAAAGAAACTGATACCTAATTTATTTTATCCTCCAATCCTCTATGCTCGAGAGATCGTATTGAAACCAATTTGAATTTCCAAGGAGATCCTGCATCTGAAAAAGCAAGCGTTTTCTATCTTATCGCTTTCCAAAATCTTGTGGCATACACAAGAGAGCGCGATATTTAATTATTCTATATTACAATATTTTTAGTTGAGGATTCAATTAGTTCAATTCAACTGATTTTTATTGATTTTTAATTATTTTCTATAATTGAAAAAATCGTTAACTTTAATGAAAAGAATTTACAAACAACTATTTATTCAATTTGAAAATAATAATTTTCCCGCAGTAATGTAACTATATTTAAATTTTTTGAATACATTGATTTTTTTGTAATATATCATATTATTATAAAAATGATAATTAATAATTATTTAAATGTTATTTTATCTATTTAATTTCTACAATGTAAATGCTGTTTATTCTGTTATTTATTTGATGACAAGGTTGACTAGTATTACTATTATTAATTATTGAAATAACTCTTGGGGTGGATTAATGTGTTTTCGGTGGCAAACGTATACTCATCTATGCAGCGTGATGGTTTGAATATGAGCACAGAATGGCGCAAAGTTTGATTCGTCGACACTCGCGCTGTTTGGATGCGCAAGTGGATAATTTAGGTTATGGTTGTTATGTAGTGCGACACATATAACTGTTGTTACTTGAGAGATATACTCGTAACGTAGCAAGCGTACCTTGTCCGGATATTGGCGTACTGCAATAAATTCAAATGGAAATAAGTGTTTGAAGGGCTTTTACCTCTTGAAGGATACTGCTACTTGTTGTGTCTTCTGCGAGCGTTGAATGGCACGCTGTAGATTCATAAGCGTCAGACTTTGAACTAAGGTGAGGGTAAGGCCGGCAAGTCTCGTATCAGTTGATGCGACCTTGATGACGAGCTTGTAATTATGCCGCACTGTCTCTCTGGTGAGAGCCTCTTCTTCTTTGGTTGATTGTCGATGACGTATTCTGAATCTTAAGTTTTATTTGATTGTTGTAGTGGTGCTACTACTTATGAAGACTAATCGTCGACTTGTCTTCGGACGCCCTTAGGTAGATATGTCTTCTTGAACTGCATTAGTGGGCATACGGGGATATGTCATCGTTCTTCTAGGACGTGTCTTGACTGTTGTCTTGAACTGCGTTAATGGACTTGTACTTGACACTAATAAGTACTATATCCAGAGTGTTTGAATCTTGAAAAATGCGCCCCTTAAATACATTTGCTGACCATGAACTTCACTTGAACTCCTTCTCTTATTTTTCGTCCAATCAGAGACTCCTCCCTTACAGAAAAGCAAGGGCAGCGCCTCTTGTAGCTTCATATTTAATTAAGGGCGTAGTCGTCTCTTGGTCTTCATGGCAAGAAGAGTTGTTTTGTTGTTTTTTTTCCAGATGTTATATTGCATTGAAAAAAGGTCTCACAATCTCGAACACTATTGAACTAAGTTATAAAATTTTATGTTAATACGCAACATTCCTGATGCTACCGAATGTTATTTCCGTATACGCTATTAGTATATTAATTAGCTATTTTCAATGACGCATTTGAATAATATTATTGAATCACAGAACTGCTTCTTATATATAGCCAAAATTGTCATAAAACACAATTAGTGTCTGTTTGAAACTATTTAACTTCTTGGCTCGAACTGCCAATTTTTCGATAGCTTTATATATTCGATAGATTTATATGTTATGGAAGGGTATACAATATATTCAGTCACGTTCTTGCAGTTGCTTATAACTGATCTTGTGTTGAGTAAGTTGTCTTTTAGAGATGCTCGTTGAGATGTTGATTTTGTGGTTGATCTTGTAAAGATCAGCAACTCATTATGCACACTCCTTACTAGTGAGTTTGTTTTGTGCTATTATTGGGTAATCTGACACTTTCGTGGTTTAAAGGAGATGGCGTCAACGCCTTGCAAATGTAGTACAGGAGGTTCGATGCGTCTTCCTTCTATCGGAAGTTCACTTAAAGCTTGATCACTATTTTATCACTATTAAACGAGAGCCCCCTTTTTCCTTGACTTCTCCACATACACAGCGATTGTATGTATCTTCCCTACTTTAAAGCCTCTAACAGTGAGACCCCGCTTAAAGAACGCCTCTACCCTAGGTATCTCCAATCAAAGCACGCCTCTGTCTTCCGTCTTCAGAATTTAACAGTGACAACATCGACAAGAGCACCTCTAGCGGCAGTGCCTTCAATTAGGGAGCTCACTCTTCACTTGGACTTCGCACCAAGGAGCTCCTGATTGAAGCCTCGCCGCTTGGCTTGTACAAGTGGCAGCATGGGTAGACTTGACAACAGTGGATGCGCTGTGTACCGTTACATCGGAAATTTTACGTGTAACGACTATTTCCAAATGTCTAAGACTATTCCAGACGTTTTTCGCATATGTTTAACGACTTGAGTCTTTCCAGATATCTGATACTGGCGAAAGGTTCTACAAATCTCGAACAGTGTCTTATTCAATCCAGTACATTTTAGGAATTTATAATCTTGTATTTATTATTGTACTATTGAAAAGATTACACTTTTCATAAGTTGTACAATCTTTGATTCAAAAGAATTATTCTTTTATTATCAAAATATTGATTGAGTAATAACATAAATATTTATTTAAATTATTAATTTCTAAAGAACTAATATGTTATACCTCTAACATTTTTAAGAACACTAAAGTGTGTAAAAAATTATTAAATAACTTATTAGCACAAATGATTTAATTTAATTTTGTGATACTAGTAAATATATTTGATTACAAGTTAGTAAGATATTTATACAAATTTGTAATTGACTAACTTTGCTATTTGCAAAATGATATTTGTGATGAGTATTCTCTGTTTTGAAATTTCATAAACATTATTAATAATTTAATTGATAATTAATAAAAAAATAATTGTGTTTATATATATATATTTTTTTTAATTTTGATATAATTAGTTAAAAAAACTTTGTAATAATATATTCTTTGTCCATAAAGCAAAACAAATAATTATCTTCATATACATTGTATTTAATACATTTATAATTATGAATTTTATATATACGTACGCCATGCTTAAACTTTAGTTCATTTTAAATAAAAACTTTGATTACTTTTCTTTAAGAATCTTCTATACTGAAATTAATTTATTATTTATAGTTAAAGTCTATTTTAAAATCAACTTGAACAATTAGAATAAGACGAATACTTTTGCATCTATTATAGAATAATATTTTTTTTAATGAATAATTAATTTTAATTTAAGCTATTATTTCGTAATTTTATTCTAATGCATTATGAAAATTAATTTCTGAAATATAACAAGTATACATTTTAATGAATCATATTTTAATTTCCAAGTTATGATAAATAGCATGCAAAGCCATGCAACTTACAAATAATATAAATAAAGCTCTTCAATAATAAAATATATTGGCGTCTGTTTACAGGTAGCCGCAAAAAATATAATGAGCTGAGTCATCTAAATAGTATCACCTAAATAAAGATAGAAGTAACTTGCGTGTATAATATAAAAATATACAGGAGGAGAAAAGCGCCAGTATATACGATAATGAAACGAGTTTGACACTATAGAGTGGACTTCAACGATTTGTTCCAGAGGTGACGATGTACAGCGATCGATTGAACTGTTGGACAAAGTGCTCTCCGAATACGACGAGTACGAAGTCGAATGTGAAGAAGGCGGCATCGGCGGAGGTGGTGGCAACAGTAATAGCAGTGAAGGTATTGTCAGAATCGCAACTGATTGCAGCAGCAGCACCGAGCCAAGCATTGGCCTTACACCGGATGATGAAAGCCCTTCCTTAGGTGCGTAGAGCCTTCCATGAATGCATCAATACCTTTCTGCTTACCTCCACGTCCTGCCTTCTCCCTCGTTCTTATAATTCTTCATCTAAATACAACAATTGATAATTACTGAATCTGTTTATATATTGACAACAGACAATCTGTTAGATATAATTAAATATAAATTCATGAAATCGATTGACTTTTAATAAATTATTATTTTATTCACTAAAATATATTATTTAATATAATTTTGTATAAATGTTGTATCGTCTTTATTTTGATAAATCCTTTCATAAATTTAGTTAATAATTTTAAACTTATAAATAATAAATTATAAATAATAAAATAAACTTATATATATGCGTATATATTTATGAAATATCATGAAAGCGTTTAATTTTTGAGTTTCTATAGAAGTATTTTTTTATTATTAATTTTTATTATTATTAAAATTATTATATTAAGAAATTTTTTTTATAAACTTGTTAGTAATGTTAATGAATAATTTTTACAATACTTTAAAAAAAAATAATGTTTTTAATACAATGACATTTTATTGCTCATCATATTTTATATATGTAAACTTATATATATGTAAATATAGATATGTAAATATTGTTAATAAATTACAATTATGATTAAAATTAAAATTTTCTTATTATTGAGCTTATAAATTAAAATTATATTATATATGTCAATAGAATATAATATATACAGTATAATATATTCAATATATAATATAATATATATTGAATAGGTAATATTTAAGAGGAATATAAAATGAGAGATATTTTTAAATAAAAAAGGAATAAGTAATTATAAAAATTAGTTATATTATGTATTGTTTTGCATATTTTGCATACTAGAAAAAATACTTTTTTTATAAAAATTTTTGTAACCGATTAATTATATTAGTTTAATTTTATAACAAAGTGTTTGAATAAACACATTTGCTGTGGAATTCACAATTATTTTACTTAGAGATTATAAGTAATACATTATTTTTAGTTAAAAATATGTTTCAATAGGGCATCAATCAGAAGACGACGGGTATATGAGCATGAATGGTCGGAAACCGAAAATGGCATTGGTTGCACTACGTCCGGTTCCAGATTGCCCTGAACCTCAGGATTCTATCGCAGCATCTGGTCAAGAATTTCCTCCACCTCCAGAAGAAGCCGAACGCATAATTTCCACTCTCCTCCCTATGTAAGTATTTACTATTTAAATACATTTTAAGAATATTGTTAATTACTATTATCTGATTATCGAGATTATAAATCATAACTCCGTGGCTTGAATATGTAATTATTAAATGATTAATTAATAGATTGATCTAAATGATAAAATCTTGTAAGTCTAATAATTCTTCTAGATTTAGTAGATATTTAATTTATTAAAAAGTTCTTTCAAGTTAAAAAGAAAAAAAATATCAATATATTTATTTATTTGAAATGATGGAAAATAGAGAGAAAAATATGTTAATATTCTAAAAATTATATTTCATTTTACTATTTCATAATCGTACTACTAATAGGTTTAACTTTAAAAGAATATATACTTTTGCAATGAAAACAATATAAAAGACCCACAATTCCCTACATATTCAATACATTATTGAAAATGATAATTTACGGGTCGGTTATTTTCTTTAATACGAAAATGATGATCCGTAATTAGAAAATATCATTACAATTATTATTGAAATTAAAAACAAACTTATCCACTCATTAAAAAATTCACTTTCTTACATTATCTATCACCTTATACCACAGGGTTTCCCCTGAAAACTCTTCAACAAGAAGTGGTCATTGTCATCGACATCGTCTGCAACAGCAGCAGCAGCGAAATATTGGTCATCAATGGATCAATGTAAAGGACGATTTCAAATGCCAAGGACATGCCGTTACTACGCAAACCACCTTAGTGAGTATTTTAGTTAGTATTCCACTAGATTCTATTCAATTCATGCTAATTAATATATCCCCCAAGAGTTTTTTTTCAACATTTAACATTTCATGACCTCGTTGCATTAAATCGATCACCATTACGATATCTCAAAAATTACCCATTCCTTACCGTGTGATGTCTTCTTTCCTTAAAATATAATGATATTAGAAAATTGGTTAATTTGATACAAAAACGAAGTTCTATCTATGTACTATATCTCTATACGCTATATCAATACACTATATATACTATAATATCATAACAGCATTAATTATTTAATTTTTTTTCTAAGCATTACTAAATTACACACTTCCACACTTCACGTTGGAAACCAAAATAAGGAATAATTGGTGCAAAAAGGGAATACATTTGTTTGATAGTATTTAGTAATAAATGTAAAAGTATATTATCTTTAGAAACTAAAATCTGATATCTGTCTCCATATTATAATAAATAATGTTCAATTTAATAAAATTTTAAGAATGCTTCCCATTGCGTTTCTAAAAAATTAAATTTAATTATTTACAAATGTATCAAAGATTGCAGTTATTTGAAACAATACCTTACAGAGCAATGTAAAAATAAAAAATTAATATAATTCACAGAAAATATTGTTTAGCATAAACAATACATTGTTAACAGCATATTATTTAGCATTCCTATTTCTAAAATGTATATAAAAGTAAACTTGAAGTTCTGTCTTAAATTCAATAGTGTCGCTTATGCCATATATAATCAAATTGACATATAAAACACATACAAATTTACATGTTCATAACAACGTTTCAAACAACGGATGAATAGTAGGTCTCCTATATTAAAAAGCATAAGGTAATTACAAAAAAAAATAAGACAAACATCCATCCCTGACAAAACAATTTATATGTCGTAACAAAAAACAATAGATCGTCGAAATTTTTGCTAAGCAAAGAATAGAAAAATAGGAAATAAAATAATAAACAGAAAATAGGGAATTGAGCTTTAAGTATGTGAAAAATTATTCTTAGTAAAATTAGAAAAGTACCATTAGAATTTAAAAATCTGTGCATACAAATAATTGAAAAATAAATGTTGTTGATAAAAGAAAACAAGAACTTATATAAAAATATTACTTTATTAAACAATGATTCAGAAAAAAAGAATATATAAAAATAAAAAATAAGAAAAAAGAACTATGCAAATATAGATATAATTTAAATGTAATTTAAAATATAATTTATATAGACTTTGTATTTAAAAAAAATTATTTCAAATTAAAATTTATTATATATTAATTTGTTCGTAGATTTTAAAAATATTAAATCTTATTTTTTAAATGTCAAAGCTTTCTTGAAAATATAACACAGTTAATTTCTTCACAAAACTTCATAATTTATCTATTAATAATTTAAATTTAAGGGAAAAACTTTTAACTTTTCATGATAAAGTAATTGTATTAAGTAGTACATTTGTTAGTATACGAATGAAAATAATTATAGTACAATTAAATATATGAATACTGAAGAACGTGCCATATTTGTAAGTTTTTAGCATCAAATTAAATGTAAAAGATTGAATTTTATCTTATCTATTATATTTAAAATATCTATAAACAAACAATGTTTTAAAAAGAAAGAGCACGCGCTATCACAGCCGTTCTTCTGATTTTTTCGTGTGCTAAATAAAATTCACTGATTACAGCCAAAAACGAGACACCAAAGGCCATACGGTTGGGAAAGTAACAATTTGACCATTAGCGATGGACACGTGGTTAAATCTTTTCAACTCACAGACCAACCCAGCCCACTCAATAAATTTGCCAGTCTGCCTTATGACGTCAAGGTGTCCTTTAATTGGATCGCTCCTCATCTGGACCTTGAAGCCAAGCATCCTCGAGCCAACGTCTTCGAGGATCTGAGAAAGTCCTCTGAGGACGTTCACGAGAATCTGAGACAATCCTCTGAGGATGGTCTTGAAGAGGAGGATGAAGCCGGAGACGATGGTGACGATGACGATGAAGAAGAAGAGGAAGATGTCGAAGAATATCAGGAGGAAGAGGAGGACGAAGAAAAGGAAGAGATGGATGAGACCGAGAAGGCGTCGAGACGACACCTAAGATCACAGAAACAGAAGACGGTAGCCGCTTGTAACAGTCACCACAATCACTATCATCACCATCACCATGCCGGCTCTCGCAGACCAATACGACAAACTGTAATTATCAAGTCTAGCAGGTAAGGAGATCACTTTTTCTCCTTTTAGATTTCTCATCCTTTTCAATGTCTCGAATATTTTTAACGTCCCTATCATCCTTTAACGAATGCAAAACTGTAAAATATGCAGCACGATATATGAAAACTATGAAATAATGATATTTTTTTAATTTATATCTATGAAAGTAATACCATAAAATAAATTAATAAAGAATGTTTAAAATTTACATTTCACATTATAATTTGAGTTTTAATAAACTTAAATGTATCTATAATATGATCATCTTTAATTAAACATTAATTTATTTCTACATTAATATATTATGTATTATATATTAAGTACAGAAATACAATAATCCTATTTGTTGACATTTAACTAAAATCTAAGATATAAAAATAATTAGAAATATGGAATATTATGTAAAATTAATAACAAAAAATATGGTTTTGATAACAATTAAAAATAAATTTATTCTAGGTTAATTTTTAATTTCGTAGTTTTAATCGAATGAATCGATAAAATTATATCTACAGCTACAATATTTGAAAAAACATTGCACTCGTATGTTTACTCGGTTTCTAAACAATTATTGATATTTATTAATAAATTGAAAATAAAATACAGAAAATGTAGAGTATCAAACATTTCAAATTACGATGTTTTAAAATAATGTTTGATAAATTTAAAAATTAAAAAAAATATTTAATAACTACAATAATAGCCAATTACAAAACTGAATAAACAATTAAAATTAATTTTTCAGCAATTATTCAACAAAAAATCTACTATTTTTACAATTAATAATATATTTTTTCAAATTTCTTTTTAATAATTAGTTGCGTTAATCAATACATGTGTTAATGAAAAATATTACTTGTTTAAAAGCATACACACATTAAATATTAAATTTCATAAACCAAAAGAATCAGAATATGCTTTAGCAGAGTTTTTATGTATAAATAAATTAATTAGATAAAAAAAAGATACTGGGGTTAAAAATCAATTGGAATTTTATAGTAAAGAAATTCACTTTATGACGTGGATTTTCGATATATCGTATCTGTTCGTCGTCTACCTTCTTCCCCTGCCTGTGGGCTGGTCTTCTCACCCTTTGTTTATCTTGAGCAAATGGTAATAATTTTTGTACAGTGTGGAGGACAGGCTGCTGATGAACAATTACCAGCAGACGCGAGGCGCTGAAGCCTCAGGTTGCCCTGAGTACAATACCCGGATCCAAAACGATCTTCTAGATTCCTCGCGGCGACGTCGCAACAATTCAGACTCGAGCGAGAGTCACTTCTCGCGTAACTCTGAATCCGAGCGCTCTTCCATGTTGCGCTCGAGTTCCATTAGTGTCGAGCATTTCTCCGTACGTGCTAACTGCGACTCCTCGGACTTCTCACGAGGAAATTCCACTTCTAACGAGCGCTTTCACTCGGACTTCTCAATCGCGGTTGCGAGTGCGAGTTCGAATGACCATGTAAGCATTCCAAGCTCTGAGCCACTCGCTGTGCGAAACCTCGACTTTGTTACTTTTGGCTTACCACACGTGGACTCGAGCGAACGCTTCTCCGGGCAGACTTCCGACCGTTGCTCCGAGGAACACTATTCCGAAGTCTACTCTACAAGAAACTCGGACTTCTCTGCCCGAAACTCGGTAGACTTCAGAACGCAGTCTGAGGAGGAACACTTTTCGGACGACTCGCTTGAAGAGCTGCTACCACCTCCGCCTACACTTAACAAAAGGCACAGTATCGCCTGGGAGGTCACCCTTGATGACGAAGCCCTTTACGCACCCGGCAGTACCAAAGTTGTTGGCAGAAGGAGAAGAAAAAGCAGCGATCTATCTAGTCAGTATTGTTGTCCGTAAAATTGACAATTATTCGCTTTTCCTTATTCTGTAGCAGGTATTTACATTTGCCGCTTAATAATCGTACTTTTTTTCTGGTTGAATGATATCTTCACTAAGTACATAATAAAATATTTTTTGAACTATTTTTGTATCATGATTTGTAAATTAAAAAATTACTACTTCTAATATTTAGTAAAAATATATAGTTTATATTTAGTAAAAACCGAATCTTTGTTATAAATTAGAAAAAGAATCGGAAAAATTATATATATATATATATATATAATAAATATTTTGTTAAGAAACCTAGGTTTCTATTTATATAAAGTCAAAGTATTACATAATATCTAATAATGAATATGAAATAGTAACAAAATTTAGATAAAAAGAAATTTCCTTGTGATCGATATTATAATTTTATAAATATTTCTTTGTATTATTGAATATTTACAAATAGAAATGTACATATAGAATAATAAAAACAAAGAAAAAATTATTAAAAGGTTGACTTTTAAGTTTGTAATAAGCTAGCGATATAATATCTGTATAGCTATAATATCTATAATATATATAAAGATCAAGTATTATAAATCTTGTAAAAATATAATAAGATAAAGAATAAATAAGTGAAATCGGTTATTACGAACTTTAAAATACGTGTGTTCTGCTCAGGTTTCGGTTCAACTTCGAAGTTTCCTGATTTTGATGACTGGCAGGATCTGAGAGTTTCCACGACGGATGATGATTTAATCTCACCATACTCAGACTCCTCGACTAATGATCTCGAACAACTGCATCCTCAAGAACGCAGCAAAAATGGTACTTATGTGATTCGTCGTGGACGCAAGAAAGAGCGCAAGCTTTTACCTAAATTGTCGAATAAAGGGCTCGAAGACAAACCGGCCGATAGAAAACTCATGGGCTCGCGACAATTCTCTAATACCTTCGATAATATCAAAAGCCTTCTAAAAGAAAGCAGCAAGCTTGGAAGTCTGAGCGAGCCACCAGCAGAATTGACGAGCAACACTCAGGCAGTCTCTCAGCCAGATCTTGGAAGTCTTGAGTTCGAGGTTTTGTCAGCGGTTCCCATTGTCAAACAACTTACTTCAACCCTCCAAATAACGAATTTCGCCGGGAATTCACAAAAGTCCAACGATTTAAATGCTATTGATACTACCAATAGCCTCGACGCCTCTCGAGCAGTGATTGTTGTTGTAGATAAACTGCCCACTTGTCACTTCATAAAAGAGCAACAACACCTCGAATCCAAAATACCGGTTAACCTGCTCATCGAAGATCAAATCGTCAAGAAGGCTCTTAATGAGAACCGCCGTCAACTAGAGAAGGTGAGCGACGCGATTAAAGAGATCGAAAGTGTAAAAAATAGCGGGGAATATGGAGAAAGCAATCGCTGGCGTAGTAGCGAATTAAAGAACTCTGAGCTCCAGAGAAATAGCTTCGAGGACGACGGCTGTGAAAGGCAATTTCTCAATGTTAACGTTCACGACAGCATAGTCCACGCTAATGGCGCAATCGAAGGGGTCAGAACGGTGACTATCACAAATAATGACCATGAATTTAACAGAAAAAGGATCAACGAAGTCGATATATATGCCTCTGGGAGAAGGCCAAGAGTTAGCGATTTGGAAAATCACAAGAACGATACTAAACAAATCGAAAACGTCATAGACGCGATTCTCGAAGACTCCAAAAACCCAGACTTTCAAGTAATTGGCTTACTTACACGTCTTTAATCTTTAAATATCCTTTGCTTTTTTAACAAAAGTAAAGAACCTTTAGCACTTTTGTAAGTTATTCAGTTAAATATTTAAGAGATTGTTAAGATCAAATATAACTTCCTCACTATTTCATAATGCCACATTTTAATATAATCTAGATCTCGTTAAGCTTATTGTATTGTTCATTATCTGCAATTTTCTTAGTTATTATTAACCATCTTTATTGATAAAAAATATGTGAAATAATAGTATCAATCACTTGCAGTATTAATAGAATTATAGTACTGCATTGCATCTCTTGCTTTGATTTCCATCGCATAAGTCAATGAAAATGCATTCAAATATTTATTTAAATAAATAAAACGATATAGTACCAAGACATTCGAGGGAACGGTAAAAATGATAATAACGAAAAATCTCGTTATGCGATAAGAGTTGTCTAGCAAGCAAAGGCTTGTCTTATTGACAAAACGTCGAAGAACTCTTCGATCATGCCTCGTATCGAAGGTGCACAGTGCTTCAATAATCTCTAAATCAAATCTTTAAAGTTACTTAAAGGCATTGCATACTACTTAACTTAATTTTATTACTTAAAAATGTATAATTAACCAAAATATTTCATTTTCCAGCTGATTATTCCGCATTATATTTATTTATACTGAATATTAATTCAAACCAAAAATCTTAAAAGTAGAAATAATTATAATAATTTGAAAACGGTTATTTGCATGATGATATAAATATAAAAATTTTACTAAAATAAAATTTTTCAAACAATATTTAAAAAATAAAATAAGAAGCCAAAAATATTAACCCTTGAAAATGTTTATATTAAAAAGAAATTTCTTTAATTATAATCTTGATTTATAAAGTTACGTAAGTAACAGTTGTTAAACCTCTATTTACTCTACAAGGTTGTTTAATTCGAAAGTACTGCATGAATTTTTTCGAATACACTATAGCAGACTCAACTTTCGTGAAATAAATTCTCAGGTCTAGAGTGTATACTCTATCTCCCTCTGTCTTCCAGGCTAATGAAAAAAGCCATTTAAGTTTATGGGTTTGTACACAGGTTAGTGTAGAGGTGTTGGAATTTCCCCCACTGCCACCATCACCAGTTGAGGAAGCCGACGAAGAGAGTTCAGATATCGTAAGTTCTGGATGCAACGGAGCAGAAGCAACAAATAAGCGTACGACATTGATCACAGAAAAAGAGACAGAGATGATGTCCGGGATGACAACAATACCTAGCAAACCCAAGCAGTCAAGTCATACAAACCGTACAATTGAATACAGGCCGCGAGTACCACCTCACCGAGGCATTAGCTTCGACTCCTCCAAAGATCACCAGACAACCTCCCTTAACACGAGATCCATGGATGCAGGATATGGTCGTGGACGTAGGACCGCCGCTGGCATCGCCAACGCCAGACGCGAGGTGAGGTTCCAGTTCCTTTTTGTCTCCCTCTTTACATTTACATTACATTATTCCGAACATCTACATGGAAATTCTTTAAATATCAAAACTTTTGAAACTTTTAATTAAAAGAAATATTTAAAAGGAGGAATTATACAGTTATTACAAAAGTTAAGTGACACGTATTTTATATCAACATTATATCCAAAGTATTTTCATAATTAATTCACTTTTATGCAAAAAAATAACTATTGTAAATCTTTAAATCCTAATTTTGCAAGATTTTTTCTACAAGATCAACAACAATATAAAATTTTAAATGTTAATTACAACCTATGATTAGTTTAAATTTATACATAATTTATTAACTTAAGTAAAAATAAAATAAGCAACTCTGTGATGCATCATAGAATAAAACGAAATAAAAAATAAATATCAATGTGAAAATAAATATCAAATTTTAATTCAATTCTATTTACATTCTTTATAATTATATATATATTTTTTTTATTTCATAATTATTTATATTTTATATTATTTATATTTTATAATTAATCTTTATAATTATAAGTATAATTCTATATACGAATAAAAAATTCACAAATAATAACGAATAAAACTTTGACGAATCAAACTTACTATTGATATTTAAAAATAAAATATACTACTATATTAATTATAAAATAAAGGAGTAGATGGCATTTAAATAATATTTAAAATTTCTATTAGAAAGAAAATACATTATCAAAGGATTTCCATTGATCCTTCATTATAGATTGAATAGTAATTTATTTTTTAAAAAGTTCTTAATATAAAGCTGAAAAAATATTACAAAATCCTTTATACCTTTATAATATTTTTGCTCTATTAAAATAAAACTTTTTCTTACTTTTTAATATGTTAATAAAGAGAATTTAATAAAAATAAAATTTTCTTAAATTAAATTAAATTTCAATTATTAAAATTATAAAGATGAATTCTCTAATTCTTATTTCTTTGATTAACTTGAAAATTAAATTTTTTTGTAAGTTATTAGTATTCTATACAACATTTTTATTCACATAAAACTATAATAGAATATATTATTTAAATTCATATTTCTAATGGTACTTTAAAGATTTTAAGAGGAATATATTAAAGATATATGTAATTAGATTTCCAATAATTTTTCAGATTATTAAAAAAAAAAAACAATACAAATAAGGATAAGAACTGTCTCACTTAAATACGTGTAGGTAAAATCTCGAACTCGCTTAGAAACTTGTATATGCGGCATTAGATAATCTACTATTCCTAATACGCATAATATTTACAAAACTTAGCAAATAAATATAAAATAGCTAATAAAAGAGATGCACTCGAAGTGAAAATTAAAGCTTTCAGATCTTCAAATAGACGATTTTTAAAAGTTAAAGACTTCTGACTTACTGGTCTGCCTCTATAGATAAAATATTTTTAGTTAAAAACTTTTTAATACAATTTCATAGCAAGGCATATATCCATTTGTACGCATAACGAGATATAGCAGATAAGCTTGACTACGAATGCAGATTTTAGCATGTTATAAAATGCTTGTATCAATGAATGAGCTGGCGTGAGCACTAACTGATATCAAACAAAAAGATTTTACTATTCCAACTTTATTAGACTTTGCATTAATCTTGTTCCCATCTAGAGTAATTGTAATTATTGTTAAGTAGATTTTACTTTTCTTACACTGGGCTTGTCATATTTTGTATAATTCGAGTTGATATGCTTTCAATAAAAATCGTAGATTGTATTAAATAATTAAGATTTAAATTTGGCTTGCTCTCACTTATTATTAATTCTACATTTATTACATACTTTCTTTACATCGTACTGATTTAAAAAGTTTATATTAAACATAAAGCAGAATTATTATGAAAATAATCGAAAGTAATAATATAATCTCTGTTATCTATATAAGGACATAACTTGCTCTTCTAATTATCTGGATCCATATATAGTTAATTTAAATCATATGATCGCTATTATCGATGTACATAAATATAATCATACTTTCAATAAAATAATGAATAACAATAATAATGTAAACCAAAATTTATTGAAAGGTAATCGGTTAATTCTTAACTATTTCTGTAAAAGAAACCCCTTTTAGTTAAATTACAATGTAATGATTTTAAAATTAAGAGAAAAATGTAATGTGCATATGATAATAATTTTGATACATTAATTACTTTGGCTTGTTTTACCATTGCACACATTTTTATACGGTATTATACAATTAAATTATTTATTCAACTCATCTAATTTAAGTAGAATAAAATGAAAATATATTATTAGTTAAAAGTTAAATATATAAAGAATTTTATTATTTTTTTAAGAAAAAAAAATACGAAGAGATTGCAAATTCTTAACTTCATGAAAGTCCCTGTTTTAGTATACAATGTGAGTAATCAGAAAGTTTTTTTCCCTTTTACACTTTTTCTAAATATTTTTTAAAAATATTTTAATATTACAATTAACTTTGACATTTTAAAAAAAACTTGCATAACTAAAAATCACTTATAAAAATATTTATATTAATTCATACTTTCTGTAGTTATATAATTTGTTATATAATTTATTATATAATTTAGTTATATATTAACTTGTTAATATAAATAGATATATAAATAATAGAATATATATAATAATAAATAAATAATATAAATAATAATATAAATAATAAATAATAGATATATATATAATATATAATATAATAATAGATATATAAATAAACTATAAATAGAAGAAATTAATTCATAAATATATTTAAAATTAAAAATTAATTATTTACATCTCCTTCTATGTAGAACAAACATTCATAATAATTTTAAGCTTCTCAACTTTGAATGAATTAATAAATTATGAATAAAATGCATTTATACAGATTTTTTAAAAGCAGTGTTAAATTCATCGAAAGTTATTATTATAAACTGTATAATAAAATAAGAATAAAAAATACAGAAAGATAAATAAGAGAAAAAGGAATGGATATGAAACAATTGATAAAGAAGAAAGCTAAGGTTCATAAATGAATTGTGCAAGGGTAGTTACGTAAGTTAGAAGAAGTAGAAATAAAATCCAGTTTTTGCATATGTAAGCAATTATATATTTTCTACTTTCATTCTCCTTCCTCTATCGTTTTTATCTCACTTTATTTTTCTTTCTCTTTTTGGAGAAATCAGAAAGATGAGAGGAAATAAAAATAAAAAGATAAATAGAAGTATTCACAAAGAATAGAAACTAATCTAAAAAGATATAAAGAATTTGTAAAAGAAATTGTGAAAGAAAATCAAATAAAAAAGTGATAAATGAAAATAACACAAAAATGTTCATCCATATTCTATTTACTTTTATATTTAATATACTTCCATATTTTAATAAAAACAAATTAATTTTTTTCGTGTAAGGAATTTGTTATTTTAGTATTTTTCTTAGTAATAATATAATATGAAAAACGGTTGGGATTAACTAAATTTCTAAGCAATGTTTATATTTGTATTTCAATTTTTTAATTAAATCAAATATATCGATTAAACACTATTAAAAATTTGATAACATATATATTGAATAACATACGTCCAACAGCTTAAGATTAAATAAATTATTTTAAGTTCGTTCAAGTTTTTTCGTTTTTTTTTTCGTTCACACTCCATAAATTTCAAATACTAAGAGAAATTTTTAAAATAGTTATTTCTTTACTACTCAACTGTTCTGTTTTTAACTTAAGCATCTGCAACTAAAACATATTTATATAGAATATTTATATTTTACTTCATTTTGAATATAATAGAAAAACACTAGAAATATAAATAAATATATTAATTTAAAAAAATTAGATATGCACTGCAAAAAGAAACATTAAATGACAATATATACTTGTCACTTAATTTTATATATATACTAAATAATATAAAATTATAATACAATATTATTATTATACCATACCATGGCTAAAAAATTTTAATAAATCTATAATATTAAGAGAAACTACTTAGTATTATTACAAATCCTAAAAAATTACACTTTTTAATAAGATTATCGAAGAGTATTTTATCGTAAAAATATCTGTCAAAATAGGTGTTAATTTTATAAAAATATTTTTGTTAGAAGCTGTAAAAAATGAATACTTCGAATTTCAATATACATTTTTTTACATAAAAATTAATATTATTATATTTGATCAAATACAATTAAAAATTAATATAATATTATGTATATTAATTTAATTAATAAATACACTGGTTTTTTTAAATTACAAAAAATTTTGAAGAAAATGATTAATTGAGATACAAGTATTCAAATAAATATTATCGTATATTGTATTATTATATATTATAGTTTTTTCAATCAAATTCTTATTACTTTATATTTTAAATATTTATCCTATACTTATCAAGGTAATAAACATTTTCTCATATTTTTTTAAAATACCGTTCAGATAGCAATGTAGCCCGGAGTTATCAAATTAAAAATAAATAAAACAATCGAATTTATGCAAATACGAGTTGTGGTCCTTTAATAATTGCAATGATGTGAGTAGGTACCGGTTGAACGAAGGACACTGCCAACAGACCTTCCAGGTCCATCGCTACGTCGACCTTTCACCAAGCGTCAAACATCTTCGACCGACGCCTGTTCTTCAGGTTGCAATGTTAATGTTGGTGGAGGTCTAAGCGGAGGGGGAAGTGGAAATGGAGGTGGTAATATTGTCACCACAGGTTCCGCGATGCAAACAAGCTGCTCCCTGCCGGAGACGCCAGTATTCGCCCGCGGCAACGACATACCAAGGACACCGCAACATACCGTCGGAAATCCAACACAGCCGCGTAGACAACCCGGATGGTATGCGCCTACCACCGCCACCACTGGGTAAATGCTTGCATTATTTATCCGTTTATTTGCGCTTGCCTACTATATTATTTTTATATTCAAGCCATTTTTAGGCCTATTTAAAAAATACACTTCTTTATCGAATGCTGTAGTATATTTACGAGATTGAATTTGTAGATAACATAAATAGTTGCGGAATTCATATTGTTAATTTTACACGGAACATTAGACTACTATTTCGCAAAATATCCGTACGAATATAAATTGTTATCGTAACTAAACCAGGTGTGTATGATCCGCGAAGCGCATTATTCATTAGTGAGTTAAAAATCAAAAATATAAAGAAATGAGCTTTTGATTAGGAATAAAATAATGTAAGAGCTTATTATCGCCCATAGATATAGAAGAAATAACCCCGGGTTGGAACAGGCAATAATCGGAACGGAGTTACTGCGACTTGCGGGTGGCCCGAATCGCGGTTGGTACCCGACGCGCAAATCTAACCAACCACGGCCGGCTTCGATCGAACACCTCGAACGTCTCAACTGCGCCTATGATCCGAGACTCCTAGGCGCCAGTGAGCAGAGGAAGCCCCTGACCCTCCCGACTAACATCACGCCCAACAAGTACTTCGGCCAAAGTAAGCACAGCTCCGCCTCCAGTACTCGTGAGGCACTACGGAGGGTTACTAGCTTGCTCATCAAGAAAGGTAAGTGCCGGGAAACGACAAGTCTACGTCGACATCTCCCCTATCGATCGATCGGCCAGTGATATAATCTCTGCAAAGCCACTACCACTCATCGCGAAAACTCCATGACGCAGTGTCAGCTACCCAATCTTATTCTCCCCTTTCTTTTCTTATATTATCGAAACATTGAGCCGATGCTGTTTTTTCCTTCTATTGTTGTCGCGAACTCCAAAAACATTAAAAAAAATTTAATAAATATTTTAATGTTTGCTTATACTAATGCCTGTCTATTTGATTCGTGAAAATTAAAGTAAATTAAAATAAAAATAAATACAAATAAAAACTATTTTTTATCGAGTTATTATATTTCAAATTCGAAAAAAAATATTTTCTAATTAATCGAGCGAGTTATTGTGACAGACTATTGTTTGTTACACATTAATAGCAGGCATAAAATAATACTAAATTTATTTGTAATCCCCTAGGTATATTGTTTCACATTATATTTAATATTTAATTCAGTAGAATATTAATTATATATTTATATAAAAAAAACCAGTCGATTCATAACAAAGCCTATATCAGTGTCGTGGGTATGTATAGATTTCTATGCTTAAATAACTTATTCTATATAGATTTATTATTAACAAATAAATCATGTACTGCAAGTGTGCACATTAAATACACTGCATGTGTTATATTAAGTACATTCTTAACTTTAACTGATCATATATTTTTACAAAATATAAAACAATATTAAGTGAATGGGAAATTATTTAAAATCTACTTGAAGCAATTATTGAATAGTAAAAAAATAGTTATATATTTATTTGATTACATCTTTATGATACAACAATTTAAATTTACAATAATTTTAAAAAAAATTAAAATGTTCATAGATAATATTAAAGGAATATATTCAACATAATACATTTTAACATAATAATGACATAATAAAATTATGAAAATTTTATGAAATTGGTATTTTGTTTAAAAAGCGTTATAAATAAATAATAATAACGAAATTACAAATATAAATCTATAAATAGAAATAAATATCTATAAAAGACATAAATGAAATAAATAAAACTTAGAAAATAGGAGAAATAAAAAAGAGGTACCCGTGCGTCGATATCGTAGAAAATGAGTACCGTCGGTCGATAAAAACGCTTGCTAAGATCTACACATTGGAATTGTGCGTGTCATAGAAGAACGTTTGTAATTTTTTATCATTTTTGACACTCATGTTAATAAAGAAAATCTGGAAGCAACACATGTATCCGCATTCTCGGTATCCAAGACAACTTAATGCTGAACTATCGAAGATTGCATCCTGGGCAGAATAGGATAAGATACCAGCTGACTTTCAAACAAAACTTGTATTAGTATTATTGTATACTTTATTCATTCTTAGATTTTATTACATTTTATTTTTCAACTTTCGAGTAATAGCAAACTTCATTTGAGAGAGGGGGGATGAGAGTGATTAAGTGAGTGAATGTATAGCACTCATGAGAATATGTAACGTAACCAAAAGGAACTAATAAAAAGAGAACGCGAAAATTCGTTACGTCAACGTTATGATAATTACGTCATGATCATTTATACCATTTCCTGTCATTGATCAATTAATATGATTTATAATTAATATATTGCTCTGAAATATCACAAAGCAATACAATCTACAATTTTTTAAATTATTCTTTGTATTTTAATTATAATTAAATGAATTCTATATAATACAGTTAGTACTTTATGAAATATAAAATTGCTAAATAAATTAATCGACTGTACCTGATACATTCATCTTGTATGTCTTATAACGAAAATGAGTCATAGGAATATGAGCAAACTTTAGGAGCCTTTGTGATTACATGTATATTTGAAATACAATGTGACTCACTATTCCGTGTACATCCGCTGTATGGATTATATTTTAATTTTTAGAAAAAAATTAATAAAAGAAAAATTTATTAATCAATAAATTTTTAATTATGGGCGTAACAAATAATAACAAAAAATGTAAAATAATATTTTTCTTCTTTATACTCCTTGAATCTTATTTTCTTATATATTTTTTAATCATAAAAATTTGGATGCAATATTTGTCCAGTTGTATAAATTGAGCATCATTAAATGAATGAACATTATTATTTTTCAAATTTCAAGTATAAATCATTTATTGCAAACTTCGATAAAAGAACTGTTACATTTATTTTATATCATCAAGAATTATGCATAACCACTAATCGTATTTTATTGAAGTGTAGAAATGAAGCTGCCACTGAACGAAATCTTAAGCTTCAAGCAAATTAATTCACTCATTTATTTGACCATAAAGTCGCACATGTTAAACAATGCCTCTCTCTTTCTCCCCCCCCTGCCTCTCCCTCTTTTTTCTTATAAATCGTTTATTTATAGAGATTTGGATATAAAAGGCTTTGGAAAATACTGTAATTTACTGCTTTTTACCTCACGAACTCCCTTCACATTTATTTATAAGAACCGCCACTGAATCGAGAGAGCTTACAATTGGTAAGCTGATTCCGATAAAGATCATTTATTGGAAATACTATTGTTGAAAATTAGTCACGTGCAGTTAAAATGTTATGCTTTATAATTATCTGTTTATGACAATACATCTCATATGTTGAGATATTGTTGCTATCATAGAATAATCTTTAAAATTTATTACTTATTGTTTATATTTTGTTGTCATATAAACTACTATTTATTATAATTATTGAAACATATTAGCTTGTAGCATAATTAATAAAATAAATGATATATAATAATGATATAATCTTATAATGTAAGAATGTTAGAAATTAGTTTGTCATATTTATAAATAAAAAATTTCATAAATTCGTTATAACTTATGTCAATGCTGGCTGAATTTGAGTAAAAGAAAAGCAAATTCTGAAAAAGTACTCTGAAAGAAGAACAAAGTAGATATTTATATATAACACAATAAATCAGGTAGTTAAGTTGTCAGAATATTTAAACACTAATCAGATATTAAACGCACTTTTGTTTATTATTTATTTACATAGCCCAATTTGGAGAATTAGTTTTGCAACAGGAGACTCATAGTCTTTCTAACATATTCATTGGCGATTTAAAATTATCTCAACAAGAAATAGATAAATCAAGATAATAAAAATAATCGGATATTATTAACTTCGATATAAAAAAATACATTGTTATATCTTAAAGGATTTGTCGAAAATAGAGATAAACGGGATTCTATGTTTGTAAGCAATGAATTTCAGTGTGCATGGCAGATCATTCATTCCATTATAATTATTTCATTTCATTTCATTTCATTCTAATTTGTAAAACAGTAACACCTTAATTATCTGCTAATAAATATTTATTTAGAAAAAACGAAGCCACTTTTTATGATATACAACGTAAGCATCAAAGTTTATGTTTATACAAAAATATAAAAAGAATATGAACCAAAATAATATTTTCGTAGAAAACATTCGACGGAAAGATAATTTGAGTTCATGAATTATGTTTTATCAGCAACATGATTTTCACTGAACACGTAGTACTAAGCAGGAATATCACACCTATTTTTTCTCACACTCTTGGTGCACGTATGAAAATACGGTTAGCACACATCAACGCCAATTGTTTCAATTAAAAGAACATAATCGATTTCTACCTGCATACGAGTAACACACGAGGTGTGCTTTTGTATTATTAGCACCTAGGCTCGTACGCATTCTATTATTGGCTGTATCTTCTTATTTTAATAGAAATGTAGAAGTTTTTAACTTAAGCTATTTGATCAAAACCAACGGGGTCAACAATCGAAGACAAATAAGAAAAATATATCTGAAACGTACTGCTTATATTGTTTTATTGACGATATGTAATTTCATGAAAAATTACAAATTACAGATATATATACTTTTTTGATAAATAGATAAATACAGATAAATATCAATATACTAGATACATAAATAAGCTAAGCTGTTTGATATGATATATGTATTTTTTTTTAAGTTTAAAGAAATGTTATTTCTTATATTATTTCTTTTAAAAAATGATATGCTTTAGTAGATCAATAAAAATTTGTTTTCATTAGGTATGTTCATGTTATTTCATCAATAATTCGTCGGATGATTTAAAAATATTTTAAAAAGTATCTGATAATATAGCTATTAAATGTTGTTGTTATTAAATATAGCTATTAAATGCTGCTTTGTTCATTAAAACCATAAAATGAAAGAAATGAAAAAATCTAATCTTTCTGATATTGAAAATAAAAATTGTTAAATATAAATTAATTTGTGTTAAATATTGAAAAAAAAAATAAATAGAAAGATTAACAGGTAGTTTAAACACTTTAGAATATACAAAAATATTTTTTTGCAGAAACTCATACGCTACGAAATTATGAATGTGTATTTTGAAGTATCGAGAACCATGAAATATAAAAAAAGATAAATCACTATTTTTTTTAAATATGATATTTTTTAAAAATATGAAAGTTTTTCTTCCATTTTTATTCCGGAAAACAAAATGTATTTATTATCAAAAAATTACAAATTGTTTTAATTAATATGCTACTTTTATAATAAATTACTATTTATTTATGTTCAGTTTTTAATTTCATTTTTAATTCATTATTAATTTTGTGAGCATTTAAAATAATATTAATAACAATACCTGTATAGTCTTGTATAATATTATAAAACATTTTATAAAAAATATATATAAATTTTGCAAATCCGTAATAATTACATTGATTTTTTATATTTGAAATATGACGGTCATCTTAACACTTCATTCAATCGTATTGTCTATTTGATATGAATGATTATCATATATTATTGCAATAAATATGCCATTTGAGATATTCAAAAGTGCTACTAGTAATCTTACAGTAAATGACTCAAGCAGAAATTCTTCAAACAGAGCCATGCAAATACAATTGACAAATGGGTCATATTAGTTTTGCTTGTTAAGACACGTCACACTTATAACAAAAGAAAATGAATTATAACAAATTCAGTATTAAACTTTTTATTTCTACATCTTATTTATAAAACACTATTTACTCATTTTATTATCAAGCATAGGTAGACATTCTTGTAAAATTTCAATATACTTGATTAATTTACAAAATAATAAATTTGATGTTTATTGTAGTATATCATAGTTCTATAATATAATATTATAATAATATTTTGATTATATAATTTATACAAGATAATATTTTTCCACTTACTTGATCATATTATTGCGATTCAATTTTATTGATAGAAAGTGATAAGTTCTGAAGAATACTGACGATTATAGTATCATAGCAAGCAATGTTATATCATAATCATCTTTTTGATTGGTAACATTGAAATATTGCATATAGTAGGTTGCTCATAAACATTGCTTTTTAAGAAGGCATTAAAAACGAAAATATATTAAACGTATTGTTACTATTTAATTACTTATTATTAAGATGATATTAGCGCTATGTTAGTATGTTAGTGTAAAGTAAGTATTCCAAAATAAACTAATTAATTGCTTAATTTATTTAGGAGAACTATAGTAAATTGATTATGAATTATAATAAATTAAAAAATTAATTATTTTAAATCATCCACCTTTACTAATGGATATAATAGTAATATTATCATAAGATACATTGTAATATTTCATTTTCATTATAAACTTTCATTTTCGTTCTTATATATATATATATATATATATATATATATATATATTAGAAAGTTAGCGTCTCCTAATATTACAAAAAGATAAGCTTTTATCAACTTGTTTCAGAATCTAATTTTATTCATACAACTATTTATAGATGATATTCTGTTTTTGTTAAATACGTATGGCATATTATATATCGAATGAATAAAATTAAATTCCGCTCTCATAAGATTGGAAGGCAGTAACTTTTATAAATACTTTTTAAGAATTTTTTTAAATAAAGCTAGATCTGAATGTGTACATTTTAATTATTGAAATATATATCTTTGTAATTAAACTATTATATACTCAATTACTATTGAATATAAAAAATTAATTATATTGTTTTTAATAAAATACTAATTTATCTTTCTATTTAATTTAATATAATTTTTTATTGGTAATAGTTAATATATTAAACTTAATTATATTAGTTTATTATTTTATTTTGCAAAATTCAATAAAAATAATAATAATATAATTTAAAAAATATATATTGGATATTTTATTGAGCATTGAAGAATAAAAATTATTTTTAAATTCCATCAATTTGAAATTGAAGATAAATAATTTTTTATAATTATCACATATTTCAATAAGGATATGTACAAGTATACCGTTTTTTTTACGTTTTTGAAAGAGGATGGGGTCAGATTCCTTAATTTAACTCATTCATCTTTATTCGTTAGGAAAAAGACGACGGTATTAAATTTTACAAACAGGTTCGATAATGATAGTAGACTACTAATACTAAAGGATAAAAATCATTTTATATCCTTGATCTCATTTATTTATTTAAAGGGCTTAAATTTTTATTTGAAAAAGTCTATAACTACATATTATTTTATTAGAAACTCATGTTAGTTAAGAAATGAAAATATTATTATTCCCAATTTCAAAGTTATATAGTTAATAATTATTCAATGTATTGGTATAATTAAATTAAATCAAAATATTAAAATAAATACGTATGTTTTAAACGTAAAATAGATATATATATATATATATATATATATATATATATATATATATATATATAACTGATACGTATTCACCGAAAATAACTAGTTAGAATACCTCCCAATTTATTATTTTTAATGAGTTTAAAGTTATTTATCAAATATTAAAACTTCTATTTCAGAAAATTTAATTAAAGTTTAACAGAATACTCAATTAAATATTTATTCTACAATATTACAACAAATATTTAAAATATATCAATAGTAAGCAAATGTATATAACAAAAATAAGTAGCAACCATTTCCATCTATTGATGAGTTAAATATCAGATGTTTATGTATTTGATGTAGTCTCTCAAAACCTTTATATTGATTTTAGGAATACTGTAAATAATGTCGCTTTACCTTCATTTGATTTAACTTTACAGAGGTTTTTTTTTTAAAGTGAATAAACTACTTTAATGTTTTATTACAATTACATTTTATATGCTTAATTACAATGTTAATGTTAACTTTATATCTTTTTAAAATTAAGTTAATACATGACCTATTGTGTAGAGACCCTATTTTGAGTATTAAAAAAAAAAAACAGAAAATCATGTAAGAAAAAGTATATTTTTAAATAAATATATCGTTCATTTTTAAATATTAAAAAAATAATATATAAATATATTTAAAATTACAAAACTCTTAACAAATTAGTAAAAATGAAAATAATTGCGCAAACAGCAGAATTTCATAAAAATCAACGAATTAAAAATGGTAGTATGAAGTACGAATAGATTATAGGTATACATTTCGAATGTAAGATAAATATAAAAAAATACATATTTAAGTTAATTTAGAAATTTATGAATATTTTTTTCAAGTCTTTTTACAGTTTATCTTTTAAATCGCATCTTTATTTTTTTACTAAATTTCTATTAAAATATTTTAAAATTTCAAATTATTGTGAAATATATTGTCAACTATTATAATGTATAAATATGATAATAATACGTACGAAACAAAATTATCCGTAGCATAGTTTCTATTATTTCATCTAAAATAATAACGCTTCTCCATTTATCAACTATTGCAAATTATTAAGTATGTAATGCTGTTTACTAGCGAATGTGGATGAACAAATTACTATGAATATCCAATTTGGTAATTTTGTAAATTTTTTTTGGCAATTCTGCAATTTATAAATACATATTATAAAATAAACATAGATCATGAATATTACATATATATTCTGCATTAAATTTTATTAATTTACAGCGACTTTTTATAATTAGGTTTATTTCATTTATATTGTAATTTTTTATTTTACAATAAATATATTTAAGCTAAAGTTTTTGTTGTGATCCTATATATACATGCAAACATACCGTTTATGTAATTGTCTACATAATGACAAAGTAAAATTTACTTCAGGGTACTAGTTAAACCGACTGCACTAAATAATTATTTAAATAGATTTGATTCCATGTTTATATCTTTAATATAACTTTAATATGATTTTAAATTAACTTGGTATAATTTAGTGTTACTTTAATAATAAAAATATTTTTTTGAGCTCAATGTCACAAATTTTTATAGTAACATGTTTAATTTCTATTTTCAATAAGATAAACAGATTGGATCTCTAGGAAAAGAATTTGACGGATCTTTTTCAACATTGACAACGTTTATATAAGTAAAAATGTTTTTAATATCGCATGCTACATTCATGATGAGATATTTATTGTTTATTTGACTGAATTTTTCATGATATTTTAATAACATTGAATTTCGTTCAGCAACTAATTCTATGTAGAGCCGTTTAAACTTATACTATGGATTTTCTAATTAAATTAAAAATATGAAAGTAGTACATCCGTTTTTAAACGAAATTTATAATTAAATAATGTATATTTCATGTAAATATTATGGAGATTTTTCATTTTATAATCTTTCTGTTTTTCATTATTTTTATCTTGATATTTATTATTATTTTTTTCTTAAATTTATACATTTATACTATTTATTCATTTATATTTTTTTGTTTATTTGACTATCATATATGAATTGGTATTTAAGTAATGCATTTTTAATTTTAATGTTTCAGGGGGTGGAAATAAAGATGGGAAAAATAGCAAGGACAATCTTTCGCCATCCGGTCCTTACGCTGGTAAGTTATGATTAAACGTGTCCGCATACACGTGTCTTACAAAATGAACAGCTCCATTTTTTTTTTAAGACCAGGCATTGGACTATATTTTTTGTGTGATATTACGTTCTCAATTTTAATTTTAATTAAATTACAAATATTATCTAGAATATTCTCTCTCTCTCTCTCTCTCTCACACACACACACACACACACACACACACACACATACCTGCACTACATGTGCACTCTGGTGTTAATACTTAGTAGACTAGTTTAAACATTGTTTATTCAATAAATAACTCACTATGATAATTATGACAACAATATTATTTTTAACGATCCATTCCTTAGTATCCATTACTTATTATGCAGTAATTATTTCGAATACTACATATACTATTGAATTTATAAAATAAATTTTTTATAATGTTTTTTATTCCAATATATAGCGGTTCGTAAACTGTAATTTAAAAGAGCCATATAATGTGACGAGTCACGTCCAAAGATAAAAGTTGATCAATATACGCTATATAAAGCCGAAGTATTTACATTTACTCGACATTGTAGTTGCAATGAAACTTGTCTATTAAAGATAAAGCAAGTTATTTTGGTATAGTAACCGATTAACGCGAAACAAAAGAAATAACTCAAATACATTTTTCTGGCGAAAATTTGTTAAAAAATAATCTGGGCATTCCTTTCTGTACTTATCTACTATCTATTTATCCTATTCCACAAGTAGTACATTTTCAAAAATATAACAGACGTAGTGTTATTAACAATTTCACCCATTATTTTACGTACATGAAATCTATTAAAATATATTGTCAAAGGCTAATTAACATGAGATTAACATTATCAATTTTTAAATATTTAAAAAATTAAGGACTTTTTTCAACTTATCAATTTCTTATTCAAATTAAGTTTGTCACCAATATACGTTTTATACATACATTTTATATATGTTTTACATCAATATACAAATTTGTATATTACAATACAAAAAATACAAGTATTACAAGAATCTGATCTTGAATCTAATGTTGAATTAATAAATTAATATAAGTACTTCTGTTTAGTTTATCATTCTTGATCACCTCATTTTTTCAAATAAAAAATTGCAATATTATTTTTAAACTTGAAACATTACCTAACTTTTTTTCAAAACTGAATTAAATTTAAAAGTATTTGAATATAAAAATATTATACATATGTTACTAATGTACCAAGTTAAAGATAAAAATAAAATTTTCTATCTGAACATTAACTTGAAAAATTACTTCCTTCTTTGCAACAATATTGTATGTAAATCTATTAGAATTTTTTAAATAACTATTATTAAATGTGAGCTCGCTACAACTTCTTTTTATAACTTTGTAAATACCACTCTAAAAGTTATAATTTAAGATTTAAAAGTTGAGCTGTAATTCTAAAAATAAATTACAATTTTGCGAATCTGTAACATGTTATGTGTTCTTATATTATCATAAATTTTATCAATCGTTAAATAAACATTGTATGAAAAATCAAAATTTATACGTGTTTTATATAATAAAGTCAGATTGAATAATAGATTATCGAATTGATAAATAAAATACATATGTTTATCTTTGTGAAGAAAGTATTTTAGAATGATGTAGTTAATTGAATATTTGAAGATATTAATAAGTATATTACATAAAAACAAAGAATCTTTTTAAAATCAGATTTACGATGAGTGTTTCAAAATTATATAGAATTATGTATATCATTACATTATAAAAGATTTAAGTAAGTACGGAATTAAAAACAAATATAGAAGTAAGGTGGAGTATAATAGTTAATAATCGATATAGTTGGGTGTTGAAATATTATGCTTAAAAGTTCTTACAATTACTCGCTATAGCTGTTTGAATTAAATTTCACTGCGATAGCAGAACTAACATTATTTACATTAGTTATTAGATAATATAATTAAAGGCAACAGAATTATTATTTTACTTATGTCGTGTTTAGCAATTAAGTACGATCTTTATCCCCATAGAACAAATTGTGTTAATAATACATTTCACGTGTAATAAAATAATAGTGTTACCCTCTACTCAATAAGATTATTTTGATTTCAGTACAGCTTGGAAAAATGACAATTATATTGTTTATATTAAATTAAGTTATTTGATATTCAAGAGCTACAAACATTTTCCGATCGACATTCCTGTCACGTCATGGCTCTACACTCAAAGTATAGAATAAATAAAAATCGATGTTGAAGCTTATGAACAGTTATGAAGACTCGACCACAAGATCCCAGCTAAAGTAAATATTGAAACTTGGTTATTTAAGTCACACTCAGAAAATTTTTTCGACACTGTGTTCGAGGACCGAATTTAGTAAGGAACACAGAGCCAACGCGCGTGTGATTTCAGTCGAAGCGATTCAAAATATCTTCTCTCCCAGCAACGGACTCCAATGATACTTCGTTTCCTCCACGGACATCGTACCTATTAATATTGCACGGTTATTTTTGAGGGGATCTCTTGTTTCGGCCGTGAAGAGTTGCTGCAACACTTTTACATAATTTTTTATGTACTTTCTCGCAATTTCTTCTTTCCTTCTTTAAGTTGCTCGTTCATCGACAAAGAAATTAGGTAAATATCACGATATACGAGTACTTGCAACTTAAAACGAATTCACCTATTTTTAAGTACTTATTTTGAACGTATTAATGATTTGTTGCATATCCAATAAACAAAATTATAGAATGAGATGAGATATATTTGTTGTAATGTAATACAAAAAAACTATTAGAACATTATTCAGTCTTCCATCACCGTATCAAGATAATTCTTTGCTATATTTCAACTGTTATAACAGTTTTGAAAGCTGTGCTTCTAAGCAATGGATGGTCCTACAATATTTACAATATTTTCCAAATAATAAAAAATTAACATGGATATTATTAATTTAATATTACCAATTCAATATATTTTTGGGCACTTCGTGGCTAATCAAAACTTACGAAACAGTGAGAACTATTTTATTACTATTTTATTTTAAAAAAAAATTCTTGACATCACGAATTAAATTATGCTTGAATTTAAAAAACCCGTTTACACATTAAAATTATCTATCAGAGTATAAACAATTTTAATAGATTATTGTTATGTACAGGACATTAATTTTAAAAAACTCTTAGATATAAAAAATAATTTCTGCATTTTTGTTTTAAAATTAAAAAATATATAGAAGTATGTTTAAATTAACTGATTTTATTGCTTAACAATTTGAATAATTAGTACTATATCTACTTATATAATATTGCCGGCAATGTATTAAATGCAAACGCCTTTTTTAAAAAATAATAAAGAATACAATATATATCTACTTAATGAGTTACGTATATTGTTAATTTAAATATTAAAAGTATTAAGCAAATCAAGACAAAAATTATCGAAATTGAAGAATAAGTTAGTATTGATAGTTTATAAATACGTATTAAAATTTTTTAAGATGAGTAAATCAGTCGAGTAATATTACATCAAATGAAAAAGAAGATAGCGAATTGATTGGAATGTTTCACGATGCATACAAAACAGTAATATATGAAAAATTACCCTAATATTTAAAGAATATCATGAATTGTTGTTATCGTCAAAAATATGTTTTCAAAATGTTGCTGCTGCAAATGAATTAACCCCGTAAATCATGACAGGTTGTTACTATTCTTTTTCTCTTAATGAAGATTAAAGATACCGTCAATAGAATATCAGAGGCAATTACGATGGTTGAAATCGCTTCGTACAATCAAAATGAAAAGGGAGAAGGGAAGAAGTGTCCTGAATCTTGAAAGTCTGTTATATTAAATATGTTGTTATTATAGCATCAAGTCGTATATAGACGCATATTTTAAAACTTCCTAAAAATATTTACTATTAAGCCAGAATAGAAGCTATTTTGGATTCAAACAGTTTCACTCCAAGACACTCTAGTTCACATTCGATATTGACAATGGACAAAAACGTAGCATAAATATTTTATGTTAATTGCATTTCATAAGTTTTAAACGTAAAAAATAAGTGGAACATAAGAAGCCTATTTATCTCTAGCAATAGATCTATTAGTAATTTAAAAGAATAAATGATTCTAATATAATTGTTCAATTCATTGTTGTATATCGAATATTAAATTAGCTAAACAGGAAATTCGATTGTTTTGAACTTATTTAAAAGTTAAATATTCTGATTACTCCATCATTTTAAATAAATTATTAATAACTTGAATTAAACAAGCTTTGCAAAGTATCGTTAAATAGGACTAACGCCCGACCCGTATTCGGGTCACTAATCGCGCTGTTGTTCCAGGTATCGAGACTAACGATGCGCCGAAAAAGAAAGGTTTCTTCAAGAATTTCTGGAAGCGCTCACGTCACTACTCTCTAGAGAACCAATAGCCCAGGTGCGTCAGAGCAGCCAATCGCCAACGACAAAGGCTGCGAGAAAGGTTGGTCCAGCAACAAAATCTCACCGGATCCGAGATATCAAGCAACTCCTGTTGTTGTATCGTCCAGTAAGCGGCGATGTTTTTGTCGGGGAAATACAAAACTTTTGTTTACGGCTTGGCACTAGCCTCTCTTTACTCAATTTATTCGCGAATGTAGCTTCAAAGAACGCAAAATTTGAAGGTTAGGAATGTGGATAGGATAGGAAAATCTTTTGTACTTTGATCTCTTAATACTTACATAATTTTTAACAAGTGTCGATTTGATTAAATATTTAGGTGCATTCTCATGATTATCCATATATTGAGTTTTTACATGAAAACAATGTTCTTTAGATTATAAATTGAATGTTTTGAGAATTGGCGTTGGAAATCCTAAATACCAAAGTAACATCGAGAATTATTTTTTGAGCATAACTTTCTCACTCAAATCTTTCTAATTAACTGTATGCCATTCTGAAAAGTTATCAGAAGGGCCATCAAGCTAAAATAATTTTTAATTCAAATTGTATTATCAACATATCGCAATAAATTTAAAAAATTTTGAATGCAAAAAACTAAAAATGTGAACATAAATAATTTTTCATATATAAATATGTAAATATTTTTATCATAAAATAGTAAGGAACTGGCAAAATACTATGAAGTTCAGATCGTAAGCAACGTTGGATATTAATTTTTTTTTAAGATACAGAAAATCAAATTAAGAAATATATTATAGATGAGAAATATAAAAAGATTAATATAAAACTCAAAAAGTCGTCATTAAACTAAGAAAATATTTTTCATGTTCTTGAACATTTGCCGATAGAGCATTTATTTTGATGTTTAATGTATTTTTATTTTTTTGTATTTTCTTTTTTGAACCCAATTTTCATGCGAGAATATTCGAGAATACGAGTATATCTTGCAAAAAAACACCATAATTCCAAGATGAGAGATAAGATGACGAGGTTTAGTGCCAATTAGTTCTTTCTCTTTTATTTTCAATTTCCCTACGTGAAAAGAAAAACATTTTATTTTCCTTTCAAAATTAACCAAATTTTATTATCGCACAAATTTTGACAAGACAAACAAATTCTTTCTTTTAACCAATAAATTCATATGGAAATGTATTTAAACATTTTTATTTTACTTTTTGTAATTTAAAATATATAATTCTTGATATAGATTTTAAACACTTTTCATTAATTACATTAACAAACATAAAAATAATTTTTTTATATATAGTGGTGTTACAATATATGGAATGAAACCATAAATTGTACGAATTCTTTTATTACATTTGTTTAAAGCATTGTAAAAAAATGAGATTTACACATTTTTAAATGTGAACGAGATACTTATCACCTTTGTTTCACAATGTGAATTTATTTGAAAGTTTATTATATGGATAATTATATTGTACTGCAAATAATGAAAAGGAACAAATGTATAAATAAAAGAACAAGAAAGCAATTAATCAAGTCGAATATTCAACTCTAAATAATGATTAAAATACAGAATAATAATAAACAGATAAAGGAAGTAAATTTTCCAATTTTTAGAATGAAAAATTAGTTTCTGCATAGACATATAAGTTAAAATAAAGTTTTACCTCATTTTTTCGATAATGGAGAAATATAAATATAAAAAAATTGAAATTAAATTTGTTGACATGATGCTTTATAAGCTGTGACTACCAAATAATAATAATGAATTAATTTTCGAACGGATTTTCTGAAGGATATATAATATGACTAAGAAAAACATTTTTTGCGGCCTTTGATCAATTTACGTATCAAAATCGTGATCTAATTTCACGATGGAAAATACACGCAATAAAAACAAAAATTTATATGAGAAATATATAAAATTTCACTTCGAGAAAGTTGAGGAACATAAATAGTTTCTAAAATTATAAAAAGTATTTTATGTTCTTTTTTTTCATTTTTTGTTGAATAATTAAATTGAATAAAATAAAAAGAATAAAAAGATGATATTTAAGCGAGATTATTGCTATTATGAAAACGTGCCGTATTTATCAACGCAATAGTAAAAAAGAAATTTTTACGTCGGATAATCGTCACGTTATATGGGACGTTTAAAAAGTATTTCGTTTATGATATGCATATATATTATTTAGTGAGTAGTATGAGATTTACGTTGTGTCTGTGCGTATGCACAAGTGATTTCTGAGAAAACTGAAGCGAATAGAGGACTAGAGTACATTATGCGAAAGCTGAACTACAAAATGTTAATGATATAATTTTATTAATATGATTGCAAGTGTATAGCAGCACTAACAAATTGTGATGTTGCTAATTATTCGATTACACATGGCGATAATAATAAAAAAACTTAAAAACTTTATTATTAATGATGAATATACGATTAACGAGATTATAGCTGATAATGTATCAATTACTTCGATAAAACGATCACGGATTATGCGATTATTATATTTAATATAATTTTTAATTATAAAATAAATTAATCGTAGAACCAGTACACATATTGTTCTCTTACTCTTTGCTCACGCAGCATATTAATTAATGCTAACTTGAAATCCGTCAACGTTCATTCAATTGTTGAGGTAAGTAATGCTATTATTTCTTTTTATTTCAATTTTGTAAAGCAATAATATTTAAAATAAAAAACACAATTTCAGTAAAAGAGAGTGAAAATACTAAAGACTTTAATTTATTATCTAGGCAAAAGATGTTTGAATCACTGTTAACAGCATTTTCCATCTATAACAGAGATTTCTCTATCAGAATAAAAGCTACCAAGTATGTTTTAAAAAAATTAGTTCAAGACTTAGAATTACACGTTTTAACGTAAAAATGTAAAAAAGCTATTAACAGTCCCAATTAGCTTATAAGGTTAATCCATGAAACTTGACAAAGCTGAAGAAGATTATCGACTTGTATTTCAGCATCGACATCTTATCCTTACCTAAATTTGTAAAAAATTTATTCTCGTAAATGTAAATCGTAAATTAGCACCTTTACTACTGCTCTTCTGCTCTAGTATTTTTTATTAATATTTTTGTAATTTAAAAATAACGAGTACTTCAATTTAAAATTTTTCTCGAAAGTATGTAATTTTTTTATTTGAGTAAAAATATTAACAAAATCTTTTTACAATATTAAATTTTTAATAATATTAACTAATTTAAAGTTTTGAGAACATTGTTATTAGTTAACGTAATAAAAATACTATTATATTCTCACTACTTTCTAAAAGTATGCCCTTACATAATATTTATTACAAAAACTTTTCATGCAATCCTCACTTAAAATGTTTAAATTTTATTTTAAATATTGGAATTTTAGCAGCTATGCAAAAGAGTTAAATGTATAATGTAAATAAATCGTTAGCAAATAAAGAGCTTAAAGCTTAAATTTTATAGACATTAAGAGTGAATTTGTAAAGAAAGGACATATTAAACGAAGTAATCAAGTCGCAAAGGCAATATTCTTTTTTTCATAATCACTTCAATGTTTATTTCTTTTCATTGTTTATTAATAAAAATTGTATAGATAATTTTATAATAATTAGCGACATTTTGCATGACTTTCATTTTTTGAATAACCAATCATTATTAAAAATTACAGCAAGAATAGCAGTATTCATTATATTAGTAAATTATAGGTATTTGTTTCTTCGTCTACTTGGAGTATCAGTGAATAAGATGTAAGAGTTAAATTTGTATAACAACGCGAGCAAATGACCAAATTTTTAGCAAAACTACATTTTATACTTCCAAAAAATTTCCGGAATTTCCTTTGCTAATGGCAGTATAAAACAGATATTCACAATATATAAAAAGGGCGCTCTTTCTTTACCGTAATCCAGCGATTGCTTGTTTCCACGAAAATACAAAACTGGAAAACATGTATTTGCGTACAAACACATAGTTATTTGTATATATACAGCATTGAAATTTTCATTATCTCGTTTTTCATTATTAATATGAAAGCCAAGCCTGTTTTTCTCATTACTCACTGGAACATTTTCTAATTTTGTTTGCGATGTGCATTTGTAATTCCTACATATTGCAATATAATTCTCTCCATTTTTCTTTCATAAAATTCTTTATAAAATCTGTATCTTTTATTTGTAAACAATAAATATTCTAATCATGATCACTATTTTTCTTAAAATACCTAAAATTGTATTTTTAATTTCTTTTAATTAATACAAATTTTAGTTTTAAATTATTGTTATTGTTTTTTCCTGTTTGACGTAGTATCTATGTGGTACTGTTGAATTTTTACTAACTAGTTTTTTCTTTCCGTTCGCCATCAATTTCATTTATCTAACCCACATAATATCATTGCCGATTTTAATTAGATTTTATTTTTCCTTTTAAAAACGCGAAACAGAATTTTAGCTTCTCTTGGACCACTTGGACAAGAACATTTATTTCATTCAGATAAATATTTATTCTTATACGTTTAATTATATTTGTATGTAAAATTAATAACGATGTTATTAATTTTCATAGTTTTAATGAAATATTATTTTTTTGCTTCAGTAATACAGACGCTTGAAAATAATAAATTTGCAAAATTTATCGATTCTAGATTCTAAGAAGCACGAAACACAATTAAAATTTTTTGTAAAATTGCAAGTAAAAATGAAGAATAATTGATTTTTTTTTACATCTATTTACCAAAATCTATAACCTACCTCTTTCCTATTTAGTTTATTAAATGGAACACAGTGCTACCTAAAATTAAGTGTAGTTTTTAAATTCATCGGATAAATGGGGCTATTACAAATACAAGCATTTTTACTCTAAATTAATATTATTAAATTTATTTTGTATCATTACACAATGCGCGTTTAAAAATCATATCGACCTTATTAACTCAAACTCATGCTAATATTATTGATGATGATTATAAAATAGTAATAGTAGTAGTAGTAGTAGTCTAGCAATAATGGCATCATCCTGATCCTGACCATCTTTCGCCTACATATCTAATCAAAGTACGAAAGTATTCGATTTTGGTTTTTGAAAATGTTTAGACGCTCGAGTTTTTTTGTATTCATCGCTAATAATTATTTACGACTTCAATTTATAAATTATGCGGACGCGTATTATACGCACTCTGGCTTATTAACGAGTAAAGAAGAAAGTAAAAAATCATAACAAAATGCACTTATGCATTTAACATTGATATAAAAGTAACTATATAAATTTATATAGAAGTAAAATTTAGAATACACAAAAAGTTAAAAATTCGTTTGAAGCAAGTAAAGCAAAATTTAAAAGAATGGGAGTCGTATGAGAAATATAATGACTAAAAATATAAAAAAATAGAAGGAGATGGAGTGGAAGATGAAATGGACTTGAAAAAAGGGTTTTTTAAAGTATATCTCGATAGCCTTTTTTCATAAAATGTAAATCTTAATGTATTTGTATTATCATTTTCATTTCATCCGCCAATAATAGAAATGGTTCTTTTAATTAGTTATCACTATTGCCTTGCTGTTGTAAGTCTTAAAAAAGTATCGCTGTTCTTCATTTTCTTCAGAGTTGTATTTCACTCTAATTATACGTAAAACTCTTCACTTCCCTTTGAAATGTAAGTAAAATTGGCGTTGATCTATAGGGGAGACTTTTGAGTGTAGTGTGTGCGCACGCATGTATGTGTATGTGTGTATGTTGTATTATGTTGTGTTAAGTGATAAGTCCCATGGAAGACTCCCAATAAGGTGATCGTTTCCACTTTCGATTCCCAACGATTTTCTGAAAATCTTGGGAGCGCGAAGGGAGAAGGGAAAAAATTAAGCATGATATCACGTTTCTCCCTCTGACTCCGTCTACTCGAGTATGCGCTTCTTTCAGGATGCAATTCGGCGTTGGTGACGAGTCATCTAAAATTGATCCACACTAAAATGTGAGCCAATTGGAACTCCTCACATAAATCTGTAAATGTATGTGTGCGCGTGCGCAAGCATGTGTGCGTATGTCCGATTATGTTATATCAATCATAAACAGCAGGCCTAAACCACTGCTGTGCGTAGCGACGACGTACGTTCTTCCCTTCGCTGTTCGTTTAATATTCTATACCATATCTTCAACACCATTCTTCATTTATAAAATCATCGTCTATCGTGTCGTTTATTTAGATTTTTTGTTTATTTAATAATTATAGATATTTGTATTAGGCCCCGAAGGTCACTGTAACAGAAAATATGAAATAATTTGTTAAACAAGCAATATCAACTATTGCAAAGACAAAAATAATGAATGTAAGATACTAGTTTTGGATAGTTAAATATTTAAAGTTTTTATTTTTCTATAATTAAACTAAAAAATAAAAATAAATTATTTAATGTAAACCTCATTATCAGTAAGGAAGAAAGTTTGTTTCTTATCATTAAATACAAATTAAAAAAAATTTTAGTCGACATTAGGTGTTGTTGTAGAAACAGTAAAAACTTATTACACCACGCTAAATAAAATCATAAAACTAATATTAAACATTATTGATTTTGAAATAACCATATATTCAAATAACTGTCACAATAGAACAAGTTACATCAAAGTTGAAATTTAAACCAACTACACTATTTAATATAATAGCGCAATAATAAGTAAATCTGTAGTTGGCAATCGTTGCATATTTACATTTTTAATCGTTGTATATAATCCACTGACTTGGTAAAATTATTGTCAATTAGTGAAATCAACAAAGAGAAATAGCTTTTTTAAAATTTGGAAGCATAACTGTCTAATTATGAATGAGATAACACTATTTTAATCATTTAATCTCGATAACTTTCTAAATAATTATTTTATCTAAATATCATTAACTTTAGCTTTAAATGCAGACAACACTTTTAATGGTATAATTATAATCGATATTGGTAAGATATTATTGTAAATTTGAATTTTATTTATATTATTGCAAATATCAAATTATAAAAATATTCTATTTGCATTACCTTTTTCCAGATTATTTTAACTCGTGTAATTTTAGAAATGTTAAAGGTATTTCTTAAAATGAAATAGTATTTTAATTCTTATATGAATTTGTTTTTCTAATTTTACCTCAGAAAATATATAAATGTTAACAATAAGTACGAATATTTAAAAATAAAAATCAAGAATTAATTTCTCAAAGTAATTTAATGAACTTCAATGTATGTTTTGATAAATTTGTGGTAATATATTGATCAATATCATTTGCAAAATTGTTTTGTTTTGAAAAGTAGAAAAAATTAAAAATTATTATATTATACTAACTTGAATTTAAAATGAAGAATATTAAATAGTAGTAAATTAATAATGTTTAGTATAACACAATGAATAGTAATTATTTAAATAACAAATACATTTTATAATTTGTGAATATTCGGTTACGTTGAAAACGTATGGTTACATTTTTGTCATTTAAATATTCATGCAAATAAATGTTGACGTTTGTAATCTTTTTTGAGTTTTAAATTCCACTTATAAAATCACAGTCAGTCTACAAAAGAATTTAATAAAATTCTTCTTAATCAACATAAACAAAAAATATGGTTTAAAATAAATAATCAATCTATCTCCTTTGTCAAAAAAGCTGTTGACACAGTAAAAAACAGAGCAGGTGGATAGGGCTTCAATAATTTAATGTAAAGTCAATAAAAAATAGAAGTTCTATTTACTCTCTTATTTCGTAGTAATTTTAAAAGTATAAATTGCAAATAGATTATTTCGATTTCATTTGACTTTGATGACTGAAGACCGCCATTCACCAAATTCTACTGTATGTTTTTCTATTTTGAACATATCATTTGAAAAATCAGTGGACTAACGAATGATTTATGCATACATCTCCGTATCGAAGCTTATGACTCACTGTAACCGATAATGCATCAAGCTCCAATGCTCGGGAGAAAATATTCGCTCTTTCTCTCTTTTCGCGACTTCGACTACCTTGTACCTACGCAAAATAGTATTCAATGCCCTGGATTCGCTAAATACAGGTACGCAGAATAGCCTTACCTAAAATGACTCAGGATACTTTATGTAATGTAGTACAAGTATCATATAACAAATCTAGTTCTCCAATTTACAATTCTTCCTCAAAAACATAACACTTCCAACAATTAATTATGAATTTTCAACTCTAATAATATGACGAATAGTATTTAAATTTAATTTACAGAAATATAAAATATCACTGTTGCAGAATAAACATCTATTTCATTTCTTCATAAATTTCAATTCATTCGTTTGAATTCTGAATTTCATTGATAATAAATTCATTGGTAAAATATCACAAAAATCATCTATGTCCAATAGCCATATTGCTTAATAAATATAAGAAAATAAATACATCAAATTATTTAAATTGCACTTTACTAAATTCAATATCGAAAATAATTGTTACAAATTATTCTTCTATTAATTTCCTTCGGAATATAAGAGTTAAATAAATAATAGTTTCTAACTTTAATTTACATTTTTTTTCCAATTCCAAACTTATTATTGAATTTACATTTACTTACTTAATGAATGATAATAAATTAATATATTATAAACTTAATATTTTTATAAAATTAAATCATTAAAAACTTAATCCAAATTAAAATAATATTGGTTTATTGTAATAAAATGATTTGTTTTTTATTTTATTGTTAAATCAATTAACTGAATTAATTTATACTAACTTTGTCAAAATATATTATGCTGTCGTAAACTAAATTAACGTATCGTCAATGGTAAAATTTATAATTAAATATGGTATACTTAATACATAAAAATATTGTTAATATTTTTACAAAATAATAGTTGTTTTATCTTCTAGAGAATAAGTAAAAGCTTTAATTTGCATAAAATTAATTATATTAAATGAAAAAATATTAACACCTAGTAGTATATTCTCTAGTACATTTAGTGCCCAAAATTTTAATTTGCTAAATAATTTACGCAATTCAGAAAACGAAAGGCTTGATTTAATATTCAAATGAATCTAGGTTATTAAATTAAAAATATTGATTAGAATAACAATTTTATTTCAAAACATTACTAATTTATTTGAGTTAGTTGCGTACTATTAAGTAATTCTCAACTTAAAAAATGATTTTATACGATAGTTAATTTTTAATTTTTAAACTCATTTTCTAAAAAGAGGCTTCAAAAATCAATTTTGACATGTTTTATTGTATGACAGGATATCGAATAACATTAAAAAATTTGTTTAATTTTTAATTTTTTCTTGTATTTTTTTAATAATATTTTAATAATAATGTATATTAAATCACCATTAATTATGAACATTTTTACAGTTTATGGTTTAAAAGTAACTGCGTTATTAGTTATAATATAACTAAGTTCTTAATTTGAATAACTGAAAAAATTAAATAGATAATAAGTATGACTTAAAATAGTTTATCTATTTTATATTTTATTTTTAAAATCTAGTTTACTGGTAAAATATAACTCAAATATTAATCAACTTTTTTTTTACATTTCATATATTATTTATATATACAGAAAATTTGCTTCTGTTAAAATAAATTATCATTTACCGTTTTATATTCAAATAAGTTTTCTCACTAATCAAATCACTCAAATTATTTTTATAAACGCTATTCTGTTCTATTTATCTTGAATTAAGCAATGATTTACTCAGATTATTCTATTTTATTATAATTAATCCGATAATTTATTGAATTAATTTATTAAATTTTTAATATTAATATAATCTATTTTAAATAAATACCTTGGAGAATAATATAAATGGAAAGTTATAAATATATTTTTCTCAATAATATTTTAATAAATATTAAAAATATTAAAATATTAAAAAATTGAATATTTAATTACCAATATTATAAAATTAAATTTTCTAAAATAGATGTTTATAAATCAGTTTGAATAATTGAATTTACAATAACAATTTTTGTTTAATGTTTTACTTTAATTTTAGTAAAGCAGAAAATATTTTTTAAACAAAAAGAAAGAATTGATACTCAATATTATATTTCGACCAATTTTAGAGAAAAGACTTATTTTCAGTAATGATATAGCTTGGTTATTCTAAAAATGTTTTTTATTAATGTCTATAAGATTCCTTGTATATTAAAAAAAAGTATTTGAGAACTATACATTATTGATTCTCTTCTTAACATTAGTTGAATCTGTACAATTTATTTGTTAAAAAAAATTGTAAAATAAATATCGCTAAAATATATTATTATTTCTAAAAAAGATTATTTTTTAATTTAAAATGTAATTTAAACTGAGATCAATTTAAACAATTTATAAATAAACACACCAATACTAACATCTTTTTAAATATTTTCTTTACGTTAGTATATGTATTAAAATATTTGCAAATGATGAAATAATGTTTTAATATAAACAATTGCGTATAATTTCATAATTTCTGTTTTGCAAAATACATGATGCACGAAAGTAATATTTAGCATTTATTAAGTAAATTAAAGTTCTCTATTGTCAAATGAAATATAAATGGCGAATAGTGATGGCGAATGCATATTATTTGTATGATTAAATTCAAAGAGTGCAAATAACATCAAACACATACATTAAAAAGACGATAAAAAATAGCTTGACTACAACATGAATAATATTTTTCAAAAAGACGTTAAAAAGGAACAATGTTGGATGCATAACATTAAAAAGCTGTCGTATACAAACTTTAAATTTAAACGTACGAATTAAAACGTGGGTCTAATTTGGAGATATTTCTATGTAAGCAGAGTAGAGCGATGCTTTTAATTGCCTCTTAAATAGGAAAATGATAAGATGAAAGAGGACGTATCAAAGGAAATGCGCACGTGTGTTATATGAAGCCAGAAATAAACCACGTTAATTTTATGTAAGCTCTATTAACCATAACATGAATAAATGATGTTTCAAAACGTCAATCAATGTTGTTAACAAAGAAATAATTACTATATTAGTAGAAGTAGTACTGAATGAAATACTTGAAGGTGAATCCATATCAGGCAAGGCTATTTGAAAACAAATCAATCCAAATCCAATATTTCTATTTTTCTATTTTTATTATATTTATATTTGAACGAAAGATAAATATAATGTTGCATCCATTAACTAACTGTGCAATATTAATAAAACAAAATTTAGTTCTCTAATAAAAACTTATTTTCATCTATTTAAATGTCTCTGATGCAAAATAGAAATAAAAATATAAAATTGCTAATTAAAGAAATATTATTCTATCTATTATTAAATTATATCTAAATTCTCATAATATAATAAAAAATTGAAGCAATAAAATATTATGTAGAACAAAAAAAAAGAATATTTATGCAACAACAGAATATTATTCTGGAATGTAAATACAAAAAATGTTTAATAGACAAAAGCATCATTGCAGTTGCATATGAACCCAAAAACACTATTTCAGTCCCTAAAGCCTCTTTTTTCGGTGAAAGCACCTCATTTCTGTCTTTGTGCATTCATATTCAATGATACACAGCAGGTATAATTCTGACGATAAAAGAAAGGGTAAATAAGAGTATAAAAAGGAGAAGAGATGTTCGACCTAAGATAAAATAATGAAGTAAAAATAAAAAATCGCTTTTTCCGATACGGGAAAAAATAATAAAAAGTAACTGACCTAATAGCCGCAGGACAAGAGATAATCGCCTAACTTTTCAACAACGGAAGCAGCCTGCTGTGGCTGGATTGGATCCTCGTAGAGGGAAACGACGACCGCCTGCGCCGTCTTCATGCAATGTACACCAACTTTGCCTAACTTTGCCCTTATCACTCGATCTGTGCCCGACAGGTAAATATACCTATTACCTGCCAGAGTCACCCCCGACGACGTCAGTAGTTCTTGCTCCTCGAAACCTTGGACTAGCTTTGTCAGCTCATCTTTGCTTACCTATAACATTAAAATGAATAATTTATAATTTACATACATTTTTATTCGAGAATTATTAATAGTGCTGCGTTATGTCATTTCAGCGCTAAATACTCGAGGTTTTTCTAAATAAAATCTAAATATACATTTATATATTTGTACAGAAATTAGGTTAGAAAAATATCCTCTGTGAATATGAAATATTTTAATAGAATATACAGATGAAGAATTCTAAAAAAAATTTTTAACTAATCATATATTGTACTATATTATTTATAATTATTTATATTAATTAGTATTATGATTGAAAAATCTTCATTAAGAATAAAGCACTCAGAAATGACTATAATAAATTTGTGTTAATTATTAATGTTCGTTTATAGTTTTAACTCAAATATATTTAAATAATATAAAATATGAAACATCGATTATAAAATAGAATAGAATTAATTAATATTTCTTTCAATTAATTTCAAGTAAATAAGAATTTAGGGATAAGCAAGTTGAGAGTGAAGGTGAAGTCCTATATTGAATACGAAGATATCTATTTTATAAGAGCATCTTGGGACATTGAATGATTTAAGATTGTTGAAGATTTAAGATTTAAGATAATTTAAGATTGTTATTTTTATTAGCTTCTAAAAGATTGAAGAGAGATGAATCTGCTCATGACCGTTCCAAATAATATTTTCCGTGTATATAATTACGTTAACATACTATTTTGTTGCATTTTCTTATGATTTAATATTTCTAACAGGTTTTGAAACAATTAAAGATGCTTCAAAATAAAAATATACGACAAATTAACAAACATTCTGTTATTTCAACATACGAATTAGGTGGAAACAAATTCTTTGATGCCAATACAATAAGACCCAACATACAATTTCATATAAGAACAACTAAGAACTATAAATAGAATATATTCAATTTTTACTCGTTGGTATGTGAAATTGTTAATATATTGGGTCTCATTGTATTAGTTTTATATTAGTCAATTTTATGAAGGTAATTACAAATACAAATAATTTTAAACATTATTTAATACTATATAATAATATATTAGAATACAAATGTAAAAGATATTAATTTCATGTAATTATTTCGCGTTACGTCACTTATAGATTAAATCAGAATTTGCCAATTACAATTTATTAATCCCATTAATAGACTATGTAATATGAACAAATTTTTTATTCGGTCGTTCATTTTTAACAAATAAAATAAAAAATGAAAATATATATATATATATATATATATATATATATATAGTAATACTAAAAAAAGTACAGATATTAACTTGTTTGTTTAATAAACAATTAGTAAGACAAGTCGAAAATCTTTTAATTATATATTTAATTTGTATTTTAATCTGTACGAAAAAATATATTTTTTAGAAATATTAAATAAATAAATAAATAAATAAATAACTTTTTAACATGTTAATTTTAGTTATTTATTCTTATGTTACTACAAAGTTAAATACTAAAATGAATAATTCTATTCTAAACATAATAAATATATGTATAATAAGTATTTATGATATAATATTATAAATTTGTATATATTATATTTATATACAATTTATATTTGTACTCATATTTGTACTTTGTAATAAACTATAAAATGTTACGTATAAAATAAAATGTTTGTTTATACTACAAAAAAATTGGAATTAGTAGTTTAAGAAGTAGCTTATTCTTAATTGTGTTAAAGGCAAGATGCTAAAATTATTAATAATGATTGTTTTGTGTTAAATTCGTAAAAATTTATAAATTATATGTTAATAATAGTAAACTATCTAAAGGCTGCGTACACTATTACCCTACCTCAATGTAAATCAATAAACTGAATTGATACTTTAATATAATATATTTCTAATATATTTCATGATTAAATAACAAGGAATCAAAATAAAATCCTTAATATTTATTATCCAAAAAGTTTATATATATATTATGAATTTTATGTTAATTTTCGAAATATTTACTTTATAATATAGTCGTATGTAGGGTACTCGTAATTTAGATAATACAACTATTTTTATCTTTATTTATAAATAGTTGCATTATTATAATAATAATTATTAATATTATAGAAAAAATAATTTTCATGTATATATTATTTATTTATGAATTTAATATAAATAAAGTCATTTCAATTTCTTATATACAACTAAGATCACAATTTAGAATTTCAAATTTAAAATATTAACATAATATATATATTAAAGCTAATATAATGTTAAACTCTTAGTAATTTCTCTTACACTTTTTTCGCTATATCGTTCTTATGACGCTTTAAGAATTATTCGTGCCGACATTATATGCACTAACATAAATTTTATGTAATAATTATTAGTTATTATTGATAATTATAACTTTCTGATAAACTTATTCTTGAAATTCTAAAAAATAATTTATGAATTGAACATTTTAATGAACATAATGTATATTTAAAAAGTAAGTTATAAATTTTTATTTCTTTATAATTAGATATTTTTACAAGGAATTCATAATCAATATGACTTTTGTTTGTAATAATACAAAAGATAAATTTTTAAATTTGAATAATTTAGTATGTGAAAGTTACAATAAATTATAAAACTGTAAAACAAATTTTGATGTAATTAGTTAAAGACAAGATATATTGTATACTTCTGGTTATAGCATTTATTGATTTAAAATTTTGTTAAAAATATTATATATATTTTCAATTTACTTGAAAATAATACTTTATCGACTATTGTAATATTGGACATCGTATATTGCTATTTATGAAATTGTATAATTATAAATTCTAGTGAAAACGGTAAGAAAAGTATCAATACGTCATGAAACGAATGATTTTTTAATTTATTTTAGAGCTGTAATAACATTACTTTTTTTAAACGAACGAAAAATATAGAATTTAAATAGGTAAAAATTAATGCAATATATTTAGAAAGACAAGAAAGTTCAGGAATTTAATAAAATATTAATAAAATAACTTTATTCATTACGAAATAATTCTTTTGAAATTATATTTGATAATCCATGTAGGTAATAAGTATGTTCTAATGAGTTAAAAAAATCGTTATAATGAATATAAATTAAAATTTAATTAATTTTGGTACTCCAAGGAATTGTGTCTTTTCAAATAATGTATAATCAGTAATGAGAGTATATTTGATTTATTTTCTACAAAAACAGAAATCTGTATTATAAGAAGATAAAAAATATGGAGTGCAATAGTTTTTATTACCATTATCTCATTACAGTAATTTTCAGAATTATTATAGTTAAGTTAATTACTTGTGCTTAGGGCCCTACAGTTAAGGATGTACGTCAGTGGAACACAAGCACGCAGATGAATCGTGCAAAGTCCGAGTCCTGACCAATATAACTAGGAATCGAAGACGTTCAGGGCCATTTATATAATTTTTTCACTATAGTTAATGCCTTACTGACATAAACAAATCCTTTTCCAACTAAGAACTAAATCATTGGATTCTTATTTATCATTCTTCGAAACAATGATAGATCCTTTAAGCAACTGATAATCCCGAAGAATATCTTCAATTTTAGTTAGTGTCGATAAGGATAAAAAAATTTAATGAAAAAAAAAATCAATCAAAAACCATAACTATTGAACAGCTTAATTAAAATGCAACACAATTTTAAATATTACTTGATATTCAAATAATACTTGAGCAAATTCTGAATGAAATTTATAAACATTTCTTCAACAATCAAAGAAATTTGAATACGATATCTTTTCTTTATCTAAATTGAAGTCATTTTCATCTAATGCTCTATCTAATGTTGTAGAGTATTTAATTCATTTATATTGAACATCTTAAAAGAGAAATAATAAAATAAACTTAGAAATAATGTATTAATTTTTAATCGTCAATAAATAAAAATGTAAATATTCCATTGTAAATTTAAATGAATGACAATTAGTGATATAATAATAATATTGAAATAATTGTTATATGTTATAAAATTTGATTAAACCAACAATATCACAAACAGAACGTTAGTCTTCAAAGCCAATTTTGTATTTAACATTATAAACAAATATTTTAATGAGACAAAGAAAATAATTTAAGCTTATCGGATTTTATTATGAAAAATATAATATGTATGAAATTCTACAATTAAAAATAATTTTATATTTTAAGAATATATTCTCACTTTTATTTTGTATATGTATTTAGATACATAAGCCACACTTCTTATATAACGCAAAATATTCATATATTAAATTACACAACAAATACTGAAAATCAATAATTGCAATTTGTACTTCTTTAATAAGCACAGAATTTTTTTTACAAATTAATACTAACAAACATTATATAATAAGTTTACGACATAATTTATAAATAATTATTACAAAATTCGTTAAAAAGAAAAACCTAAAAAATAAGTCACTAATATTTAAAGATAAAATTTAGTGCCATTTTTTTTTTAATTCCTTATGCCATGTCCAAGAATAAAAAAATTATTCTAATAGATAAAATTTGAAAGTGATATCATTAATTACGTTGGATTTTTTTATTCGAGTAGTTGAACTGTCATGGAAAATTTGATTAAACAACTAACATATAAATGAAATTTAATTATTTTATTGTACTTTGGTATACATTTAGTTGTTGAATGCAATGCCATTTCAGTTGATGACTAATCAAAGATAGAATAAGTTATGTGATAATTTATAATATAAGTAAAATTTAAATTTAAAAATTATATTATGAAATTTATATTATATTAATACATATTTAATTTCATTTTTATAATAAATCGATTCTTTAAACACAGTTTTTTTTAATTTATATAAAAATCAATAAAAAATGTGATTAAAATAAATTTTCATATACGACTATTAAATAAAATAATAAAACAATTCATCAAAAGTTAATAAAAATATTATTAATCAAGCTATTGGGAGATATCTAATATTGCGATCATTATTTTTGACCACATTCACTTATTCCTCTTCCCTCACTCTTGTTCTATTCGCATATCAGCAAACAAGATGAGATAGATAATAGATTCATAGAAAGAGGAGCTGAGAGAGGGCGTGATATAGAGTGACGGATTAGGAAACGGAGAGGAGGAGGGAGAAGAGATCTTTCATAAATACCCCTGCGTACACGGTATGAAATACGCGCTGCCATCCGCCCGGCCGGCTGTCGCCATTTTAGAAACCATGCGAGAGAACAAAGTATACCATCGTATGTACTGCTCACTTAATCTCTTTTATTTCGAAACCATGCGAGAGAACAGTGTACCATAGAACCTTATATCCGCTAAGGTGAGAAAAGCTAATGTGTAAATGAATGAGAACGTGAAACGAAAGAAACGTGTTTAACAATTTTAAGTCCTTTACCTTTTTAGGGGACAAAACAGTTACTAATAAGAACATTTTTGCGTTTGCATAGATATGTAATATATAGATATTTAACATTATATTACCATTTGCTATCTTAATGTGTACGCATCTCTATTTAGACTATTAAAAAACTTGAATATTAATACCATTTATATAATAAATAAATAAGAATCTAACGAAAACAGAAACGTTTAATTACTACATACGCCAGTCTATATGTATCAAACTAAATATTTAAAGCCTTTTCTCGCTTAAATTTATTGATTTATGTAGGTTATGGTTAAGCTTTAAGCAAAGTGTTTATCACAAATAGAATTAAAATATGAAGCTGATACTAATGATAATGAAAATGATAAAATGGATGTAAAATTCTTTTCGTATAATCAATTGGAAATCAAGGAATTTTGTTCCAATTTTGAAATATGAAGAATAATTCCTTGATATTATTATAACACCCTAAAGAAGTGTAATAATAAAAAAATTAGCAAAACTCAAAGTAGCATTAAAAGAATAGTATTTTATTCCACTTCTACGACCCAGCAAGCGCATAGCGTTGAGAAGGGAGTGGAAACAGCGAGCAGGGCCGTGCTATTTTAGGTGGTGTGCATTCAATCGTATCTTCCGTCGTCGCACTTAGGTTGTTTCTTCTGCTCCTACTCATTCCATTTAATCTTTCTTTTTCTCTTTCTGTGGCTTGCTATATTCAAGCTATAAGTCGAGTCGTCATAGAAAAGAAAGTAAAAAAAAGAAGCATGTTTTCTTGCGAAGAATATTTCGCATATACTAAGATGCCCGAGAATTGCTACTGCCATCGTCACCATCGCCACACCCTAAAACTCATCGGGGAAAAGGTAGCCATACATACACACCCTTGCCTTGTCTCCCGAATCCATGCACAAACGCAATATACGGAACATCAGTTTTGTGATTTTCGAGGCGCTTTCCCTCTCCCATTCACGAGTCGCCATGTCCATCTAAAGGAAGCGAGAGAATAAGAGCGAGGGGGCCGGCAATTCATACAACGGACCGTACTGTGTCCCGGGGGCTGAGAAAACGAAAAGACATGCGTAGCGCGGCGCGTGCACGCACACCGGCTACGAGGAAACGATGGATCGATACACGAGAGCGAAGAAGCGTACGGTGAAAGTGATAGCAGGAGAGACACTGATATTGTCGAGGATGAGGAGGGGATAAATCGCACTACTGCTCGCGAAAACGAAGAAATACTTTGCGGTATGTGATTGACAAAAAATGCAATGAGCATGAAAAGAGAATTAACACGGAAAAAAAGACTGAAATGAGATGGGAGAGGGGAGAGAAAGAGAAGAGAGAGAAAGAAAGAGAGAAAGAGGAGAGGAAAGGGCGGAAGCGAAGGAGAAGAGGGAGAGAGAAATGCGTTGCGGTGTTTTAGCTCTCAACGTCATCCTACGTGGCATGCTTTTCTACATTTTTATATCGATAGTGGTGTGGTCGAATCGTCAGAATAAAATATGTAAAGAAAATTTACGACTTCCGTGGGTAATAATTTCTTCATTCTCGAGAAAGGTTAAAGTCACGCGCGCATAAGCAATGAAAGAAAATGAGAGGGAGAGACGCACACGCTTCTCTTTTATAACCGACAATACCTGAAGGAGTTAAGCTTTTCAGTTTTAATGCGCTACTTTCGGAGCTAAATTTGCTCCCATGTTCAGTTGGCGTCCATCCTTGGTTCTACATCATTTGGATCATTAGCGTTTATTAACGGAAAAAGATCTCTTCCCCAGATTTGTCAGATGTTCGTGAGGATACGACTGCAGAAAAGGAAGATTTACAAGGCACGAAGGGAGTTCGAATTTACGAGAGCGGAACGGAAGGCAACTTGCTATGTACATGCTTGAACTATTCGCATTACTCACTTCGAAGCCCTCTGACTTTGCCCAAATATTGCCGTCATGTCCGGCAATCGCCGCTTTCGATACACATCTCGAGGCAAGCAGCTGCTTGTCGACGTAATCCTGCCAGCTCATTTTGCCGTCCTCTTCTAGCTTAACTTTTTTCACCGTGACAGAACAAAAAAAAGTACAACGGCTGTTTCGCGTGTGCACCGATAGATCAGAGGAGAATGCGTGTATGCGTGCTTGCGGGCAGAAAAAATTTGACTGAAGCAAAAGAAAGATAGCAAGTAAGAAAAAAAAGAAAAAGGACAGAGGCAAACAGAGAGAGAGGGGGAGAGAGAGGGGGAGAGAGAGAGGAGGATGTCCGCGTTCGAAAAAATTTCACCACACGAAAATATCAAACCGTCACCCGTTCAACTCACTTCGCGACTACCGATGACTCGAGAATCGAGATTCGCTTCTTGGTCGTATTCCGACGCCTGCAACTGCCGTCGCTGTCGCCGCTGTCGGACCCCCGCCTATCCTCCTATCTTCTATGTTCACGACTCAACGTCGTGAACTTGCCACGGGTGCAAGCAAGAAAGAACGAAAAACGGAACCGGCGACATCTGGACCTCAATGCGCGTGTCGATGCGATAATTGCCACTTTTCCTCTTGGAATATTTGTCCATGAAATCGTGGCATCCGATGCTACGAAGTCTCATGGAGACCACGTGCAGTGGCGCGAAATTCTAAAAAAAGATGTATATCAGCATTTTTTAATTCAAATAGGAAACTTTTCCAAAAATAAAATCAAGCAATGTTCAATATTCTGTATCATAATACGAATTTTTAATTGAAATAATATGTATTAAATATTAAACATAACAGCATATAATACTTAAATAAGAGGTTAACGATGATTAAAATGCACTTTGCTTGAATTTAATATAATTTAATAAAAATACATTTATTTAATAATTTTTAAAATTTAAGTATATAGCAACTTTTTCCGCAACTATTACCTTATTTTTCATACTAAATTAATTTCGTAGTTATAAGAAATTGTTAACCAAAGCTTAATTAATTATTTTATATTTTTGTATCATAAATTTCATTATAGTTTAGAAATTTCAATGAATATTGTAATTGAAGCTGATTATTAAAAAAAAATAATTTAATTAAATTTGGCTTGAAAAATTATTGGTAAAGTAAAAAATTTTTTAAAAAGTTACATTCACAAATAATAAATTACATTAAAATACAGAAAGCATTACATATATAAATAAGATTAAATTTGTATATAATAAATAAGAATAAAAAATAAGAAAATTATTTTTTTATAAGTATGAATGTAATTGTAAATAATGAAATTAAAATAATAGAAAAATAATTATAAACAATTAAGAGAACTAGAAAAAATCATTATAATATTGCTATAAAATATTTTGCGTGAGCATTTACTAAAAATAATTATCGTAATTTGCTTGTAATTCAAGTTTGTAATTCATATATTGATTATATTTAAAAAAATATAGAAAAATATTGAATAACATTATTACGACCTTCAGATTCCACCAATAAATATATAATTTATAATTAATATAAAAATATCGATTGTATAATAATGATAATTAAATAATTAGAATTTTCAGAGTATATGTAAAAATTCAATTATAGTAAAAAAAAGTTTATAATAATAAATTAAATACAGCAATTAAATTATACTTGACTTAAATAAATGACAATAATTTTTTTCTTTTTGAGAAATTTGCCTTAATTCTAACATTAATATAAATTAAAATTAAAATATTAAAATAATTTAGATTAAATAAATTTGTATTTTTTATATAATTCATTATACATGAATAGAATTATATTTAAATTTATCAAAATTCTGATTAAATATATTAATCTTCATTGTAAGAAACTTAGTACTTGTTAATAGTAGACAGATTGAAATAAAATTTTATAGACTAGACCATGACTAAGTTGTAAAATATCTATTAATAACGTTAGCTTTTACATTAGACAAAAAAAAGAACGAAAAAAGAATGATTACTTTATTTTACAATATGCATAACAAAAAGTAAAATCCTTTATGAATTAAAATTTAATACTTATTAATATGTGTTAAAATAGATTGTCAAAAATAAATTCTTTAAATCTTATATTTGTTTAGAAAATTTTAGTAATCATTTTAAGTTTTATAACAATTATGTTATATTTAAAAAAATTAAAAAATATTAAATCATTATAAATATATTATAAATTATAGAATATATATGAATAAACAACTGTTGTCTTGTGTTCTTCTAAATGAACTTAATTTAATAGTTAATTATATATATATAAAAAAGATAAGAATCTAATATTATTATCTTTAACTCAAGTTAGTTACATCTCCATTTACAGATCGGTTTAATGTTTAATAAATATCTAATCCAACAGTAACAAAATTTCCTATCGATTAAATTTAGTACTATATATATATATATTGAAATTAGAGTGTAAGAAAATAGCGGAAATGACGTACATTGTAGACATATTGAAACTATTTTCCACCAGATTTAATTATTATTCACGTGTTTTTTTTAGAATTATGTTATATTTTTAATCATTTAAAGATTTTACATAGTTTATTTATAATATGCAGGTTTCGTATCCAAACGATGTAAAAATATATTATTTAAGTGCTGGGAAAAGTCTTCCAGAGGTGAGTAATTTAAAACTTTATAAAGAGGTTATATTGACTTATTATTTTTTATTTAATCAATACTTTATAATGTTAAAAGTGGTTAACTGAAAGGAAAAGGAGGAATTTAGTCAAGAAAAATGTTGGCAAGTATAATAAAATATCTGTGACTTTTATATGTTTACAAATTAAAACTACTGTATATTTAAGAATTAAATATTTATTTTATTTTTGTTTTCTTGATTATTTATTGTTTTTATTGACTATAATATTTCTATTTGAAAATATGTTGATATGAAGAGAATAATCATTTTTCTAAAACATTTAATAGAATGTTATTGTAAAAAATTTAACTATATAATAATTATATATATCATGGAATTTATTTCATGAAAATAACTATATTTGAGATTTGAGAATATTAAATATAAGTTAAACAAAAACATTCATAGATATTCGAAGACGTATCGAGCTTATTCAAGATTTTGACATGCCAGGTGTTAGCACATCGATTAAGTTATCCAGAGACGGTCAGTATGTTTTCGCAACTGGAATATATAAGCCCAGAATGAAATGTTTTGATGTAAATCAATTATCATTAAAATTTGAAAGATGCTTTGACTCAGAAGTAGTTACATTTGAAATATTATCTGATGACTACAGTAAAGTGAGTAAAATATATTATTATATTAGATTTATAATTGAATTTGTATTTATTATATTACAAGTTTATAATTTAATTTATTTTATAGCTAGTATTTCTGCATTGTGATAGGCATGTTGAATTTCATGCTGCTCATGGTAAATATTATAGATTGAGGATGCCAAGATTTGGAAGAGATATGCAATATCATTATCCATCTTGTGATCTATTTCTTGTTGGAGCCAGGTAATTCATTGATATATTAACATATGAATGTAAGCTTTTTAATTGAAATTCACAATTTATTGTTACAATTCATTTTTAGCAATGAAATATACAGACTAAATCTTGAAAGAGGACAGTTTTTACAACCTTTCATATCCGATAGTTCAGCAATAAATAAATGTACTATAAATCCTGTTCATCATTTATTATTAATAGGTAATAATGAAGGTAAAGTAGAAGCTTGGGATCCACGAACCAAAAATAAAGTTGGAATATTAGATTGTGGTTTTAGTTGTATCAAACAACATCACAAGTAAGTAAAGTATTAATTATGTTTAATAAGATTGTTTGTATTATACATTCATATTTCCAGAATGGAAACAATACCATCAATTACTTCTTTAAAATGCGACAGTGGTTTAACCTTAGGAGTAGGGACAATAACAGGTCAAGTTTTGATGTATGATATTAGATCTAATAATCCATTTATGATAAAAGATCATATGTATAATTTACCAATAAAAAATATTGAATTCCATAAAAGTATGGATTTAGTATATTCTATGGACAGCTCTGTTGTTAAAATATGGGAAAAACAAACTGTAAGATAAAGTATTTTATTTTTAAATTGTTTATTAATGTATTATTGATTAACCTTGAAGTAACTAATTTTGGATTGCCTACAAATAAGTATTATAATTATATTTATTGTTATGACATCGAATATTGAACATTGTTTAAAACAGAATGTTTGCTTATAACTTTAAAAATATTAGATATAACGTTATACACATATATTAATTATATACATTTAAATTTAGGGTAAAATATACACATCCATTGAAGCACAGTCAGATTTTAACGATTTATGTATCATTCCAAATACTGGTATGATGTTTATGGCTAATGAAAATACAAAAATACAATCTTATTATATACCTAGTCTTGGTCCTGCCCCAAAATGGTGCGCTTTCCTTGATAACCTCACAGAAGAACTTGAAGAATTAAATTATAAAACAATTTATGATGATTATAAATTTGTAACAGACAAAGAGTTAGACGAATTGGGTTTATCACATTTAAAAGGCACTCCTTTATTAAGAGCGTATATGCATGGTTTTTTCGTGGATGTCAGATTATATAAAAAAGCTAGAGATATTACGAAACCATTTGAATATGAAGAATATAAGAAAATTAAAATACTGGAAAAGATCAAGGAAGAAAGACCTAACAGAGTACAAGTAAATTATTATATTATTTACTTAAATTTTCGTAATTAGGTATTATATAAATATTTGTGTACAGGTACAAAAACTACCAACAGTTAATACAAATTTAGCTTTAAAGTATATAGATAATGAACTGATTGAAAATTCTAAGAAAAAGAAAAAAGCAATGCCCAATTTGTTAGAAGATAATCGATTTAAAGCTTTATTTGTAAATCCCGACTTTCAAATTGATATTAATTCTGAAGAATATGCTTTACTTAATCCTGTAATTTCACAAATGGATAAAACAAAAAAACAAGGTATTAGTAAGGCACGACACAATGAAAATAATATTATGGATAATCATAATACAGGTAAACAATTTAATTGTGAACTAATTTTATAATTTATACAATTTGAAGTTTATACATAACACACGTTGTATGATATAAATATGTGTATTAAAGTATAATGAAATTTTAAGTTAAGTAAAAAAATAATTATATCTTAAATAATTGATTTTATATAAATTCCAACATGTACAAATCAAAATTTTTTAATAAATGAATGTGCACACATCTGTTGCGTACAGGTGTATATTTTATTGATGAATCGTCAATATAGTTTATAAATTAAATATTATTATTATTAAAAATACAGAAAATTTGCACTCTGAAGATGAAGATATGGCTGATAGTAGTTCAGAAGATGAAAAACCATGGGTAAAAGAAGTACAAAAACAATACAAATTAGTAAAGGAAAACGAGAAACTATTCGAAATAGAAGAAAAAAGAAATACAAAGAATCCTGCTAAACAACTTTCAAATAAAAAATCAAAATTTTATGAAATAAAAAATGATGTTGATGACAATACATACAAATATATGAAAAAACGTATTAAGTAAGCTACAATAATTTTCATATGAAAGTGTATTTGATTATAAATAATGTTTATTTTATATTCATATTTAGAACCAGTCTTGGTGATAGATTACAAAAAACGGAATCCAATGTAATGAATGTATCAGGATCAAGGGGAAATAAAGAAATAACATTCACTATGTCAAAAGTACAGTAGTTATGATTCATTAACGAATATTTTTATATTTTTAAAAATCTAATATGTTAAATAAATAATTATCATATTACAGAAAAAGTTTAATAGAAAAGAAAATCAAGGTAAAGGTAGACAAGAGTTCAAACATTTATTAAGACCTGCAAGAAATATAGAAAAAGGTAGAAAAGTGAAATATTAAATGTAGGTTAATAAATTATGAATTTCTTATTGTATAAGTGTAAATAAAATTTATTTTTAGATTAATTACTGTTATTTTTTGTTTTATTTCTTTTTATTTTATAAACTTGCGATTATGTATAAAAAAAATCTTATGCCTTATTTCAAGTCATATCTCTTAAGTAAAAGGTGAAGTGTCATCAGTTACCACTGATATGTAGTTTACAGATATATATATACTTTTTGAAATATTAACTAGATGCCAGAAATATGTTTGATTCAGAGTAGTTTAGAGTAGTATTTTTAAATACTTTTATAAAATTTGTGAACAATATTAACAAATTAGATGTTGTATTTGTTTATTTTCTAAAATAAAAAAGTTTAAGAAAAATTATATGTATATTGAAGAAATGTTAAATAATTTGTATTAAGAACAAAAAATGAACATTGTGGGTAAGAACATAAATTACACTTTTTTTGGAGCAGTTGGCTTTCTTATATACTTTTATGCGCGCGCTCTTATATTTGGATGTATAATAATAAAGAGAGATAAGTAGATAAAGACATACAAAATATTTATTAAACTTTCCTGAAAGTTCATAATACAAAATGAAGGTAAGTTTTGATATTTATATTTCCATTAAATTTAGTTTATAGGGAAATTCTTATATATTCAAAATCAAAACAGTTTGTACTCAGTATTTAATCAACAGAATACTTTACTTGTTTATAAGCTTGATTAATTATGAAATAATCATACAGGTCAAACTACATAAGCAATTAAATAAAGTATTGAAATATTTAAAAAATTAATTATATTAATTGTATAAAAATTAAAAATTAAATTTTAATGAAATATTAATACATAATTGAAAAATAATTTTTTTATTGAAAATGTATAATAATTTTTGTATTAAAACAATATTTTTCATTTGTGTTTATATTCAAATTGTAGACAAGTCTGAGTGATTCCTTGAATGATCAAGAAACTTCTTCATCAAAACAGTCTTGCAATGAACTTCATCAATCGTCAATTCCATCACTTTTATCAGATTTACAATTACATAGCACTGAAGTAAGATTAATTTATAATTAATTAATTATCGATTTTGTATAATGTTTAATAATAAATATTAATGTTATTTATATATAATATATAGAATTTAATAATATTTGGTAAAAAAATAATTTTATGTTTATAAGATTTGTATTATATCAGATTGGCGAAATAGCAGAAATGCCTGATTATGAAAATTTAAGTACATCTGCAGTACTACATTACTGTAAATATAAAATCTTAAAACCATATTTAAGACTTTTAGGAGTAATGGGCTTACGACCAAATAGCGAAGAAAATGAATATTTTTCTCACTACTGTATTATAGCTAATTTTCATATTTTTCAAGTAATTACTTTTATGTGTATTGGATATGTACTACAATTTATGGCATGCTATAGGTAAAGTTTATATTATAATTATTTAATTGGCATTTTATAATTAAAATATTTATTACACTATAATTTTTATAAAATTATATCTTATATTTCAATAGAAGAGATCGAGGATTTTGTTATGCAGTTGCAATGCTAGAGAAAGAAGTTATATCAAAAACTCATACTTATGAAAAAATGTGTGACGGGAATACAATATTTTCTTATTTTATTCCAAGTGCTTTACACTTAATAGCATATTTATATACAGTTTATTTATTTCGAATTAAAGAAAATGAGCAATTACAAAATCTTATGGAAAGAGCTTTTTTATTATCTTCAAATCCAACTAATCGAGGTAGTCAAAAGCGTTTAGTTCGTATTCTATGGCTGTTCATTGGTTTAGGTGTTGTATGGATGATAATGGCTTTTACAGCTGTGAGTTTAATGACCGTTAAAGAAGTTGTTACTTTTCAATGGTTGAAATATAGGTAAAAAATGTATATTATTTATTTTTGTTTACTTTGTCCTATTATTTAATGTGATTCTACGAGATATATTAATTTTCAGTTCTTATAATATAAAAATAGTTCTTAAAGTTTTTCTAATCCTTTGCACATTATGGCATGATATGGTTCAAGGGACAATTATTACAAGTTATTGTTTACAGGGACAATTGCTAATATCACATTTACAATTTTTACGAGTAAAGTTACTTCAACATACCATGCCAGGATTAGAATGGATGAAGGTATTTTAAATGATCTAAGGGATGTTCATCGTAAATAAATATTTAATTTCAAAATATCATTTTAATTTACAGGAAATAAGTGAGTTTCGAAAATTACTAAAGTATTTTAACGATGACTATGGTCCAGCAGTGTGTATTTATACAGTTGTAAATGTCTCTTGGGCTATGTCTGGTACAACTTGGTTATTGAAATATAGCGAGAACATTCATAATAATTCTCTTTCATGTGTCAGTATAGTTAATGTGATTCTTTGGATTTGGATATCAACAGTTCCATTTATACAGGTACATTAATATGTATTATTGAATATATAATAAACAGGTAATAAAAAATACAATTAATTATTATAATTTATTAGGCAGCTCGTTTAACTACAGCTTGTTCCATGATTCAAAGTACGGGACATGAGGTACGTGTTAGGCCTTTTGTATATCAAAGTACACCAGGAGAAGATTTGGATACTTTACTTTTATATACATCATCGTTAAAAATGTGTGCTAGGCTTTATAGAGTTCCAATTACAGGCAGATACTTATGTCTTTTACTGATACTTGGGAGTGTAGCCAGCCTTACCTTAGGACAGTGTCACTTTTTTTCATAATTTTCTTCTATTTGAAATAGTTACATGACTTTTGAATTAGATAATTGAAATATTTACTTCGTGGAAAGTATTTTTCGATATTTTAAATTTATTTCAATGAATTTAGTATAATTTTTAAAGTATACGTATATAATACGTTTCAAATATTTAATTATTGTATAATTTTAAATGTATGAAATTGGATTTTACAATAATTATAAGTTATATATTTTAAAGAAGCTGTTATCACAATTAAAAATGGTGTAATTAGTAAAATAAAATAAAATAATTTTCTTGTTAAATAAGCACTCTTATTCATATTAACAATAACAATATTTTAAAAGTAATTTATATATTATAATACCTAACTAGATCTCAAAAATAGTAGTAAAAGAAGGAATATTAAAAGAGTAAAATTTGTAAAAAAATTTAATTAATATTATATCTTTGTCAATTTTTTATAATATGAAATATATAATTGTATTCTTAAACATGAAAAATATTAATTTCTGTAGTAGATGTTTACGAATTTTTAAAACATATGACAACAATTTTATTAAATCATTGGTTTTCCATTCAGCTTTAATTTAATAATTTATTAATTTTTTAAATAATTAGTATTTTTTCTATTTGAATAAATATAGATCTTATGTCTTAATATTAAATTTTACAATTCCTGAATAGTTTATTATAAATAGTAACTAATTTTACTGTTTCAAATCAACAAAATAATTTTAATATTCATTAATATGAGTAAAATACGTAAAATCATATCAACAAAAAGTAATTACATTTTTTTAATGTTTGCCTGGCTACTGCTCATTCTTTTTAAAATAGAATTTTATTATCATTATAATATAAAGTATAACATTTCTTGAACTTAAAAAATTATAAAATAATACTTAATATCAATTTATAAAATTAAATAAGAAATCTTAATCAAATAAAAGCACATACAATTGGGAAATTAAAGTTATTAAATTCGTAAAATAGAATAAATAAGTAGTTACAATAATATTTCTGTCTTTTTATAAATAGTAAATATGCGGAAATTATACATGAGAAAAAATAATTTCATTGTTTAATCATTTTCAATTTAATTATTAATTCATCTATTTTATTTATTCAATTAACTATTCAATGCAATAAATAATGGTAAATGACTTAAATAATTATTTTTTAAAATGTAGAAAGAAAACAAATACAATAATATATTGAAGGAAAGAGGGAATTATAGAAATAAAATAATTATTAAATAAAAAAATATATTTAAGGACAGAGAGGATTATTAGAGAATGAAAATAATTAAAATAGAATAATAGAAATATTAAATTAAGAAAACTAAATTGTTTATATAGTGTATTACAACATATAATATATAAACAATTTAGTTCTTTTTATATTATATACAATTAAAATAAGAAATTTATTCCATTAACAAAATATTCATTTAATAAAGTTAAATAGTACCAAATATAAATAATACGAAATTAAAATAAATATATATATATATATATAAGACAAACAATATTTTTATAATTATATTAATTATGTAAATCCAAAAACAATGTGTGTATTATCAAATAGAATATGCATATATTTAGTAATTCATAAGTTCATTATTAATTACTAAATTGGTTTATTATAGGCTTATTTTGATCGACTGAAGTTTGAATCACCATGTTTATATATAATATTTAAATATTTTAATTTTTTTTAACGATATTTATTATGTAGATAAAATAATAATAGCATTGGATTTTGTTTGTGATTTAGAAACTATGATTTATACTGACTGGACATTTATTGATTAATCGCTCGAAACATATGAATATTCATTTTATAACAAAGTTACAATAAATTAATAGTAAACAAATAATATAAATAAATATTTAAATTAAATTCTGATATATCAAATAATTAAAAAAAATATACTATTAATACCAATTTTCACTTATTTTACTACAAATTTTTAATATTATAATGATAATAATGAAGCTTTTGTTACCAAAATTATGGCAATTGAAATTTTATATTAATTAGCATACAAATTCATATCAATTTATTAACTAATATAATGATAAAGAATAAATTCACGACAAAATTTAAACAACTGTATTAATAGAATTACTAACTTGAGTAATGGATTGTAAAAAATATACATGCTGTATTATTTTAATTTATTGCATAAGACATTTCCAATATTCAATATATCAAAAATCAATGATTTTCTTCAAATTAAATATAAATGATTTTTTTGGAAAATGTTTATTATAAATATATAAAAAAATTTTAAAAAATTTTATTTTAATTTCTTTTACTAATTTAATAAAACAAAAATGTTATTAGAGAACAAAATTAATTAAGTAGTAAGTTTATAAATTCAACAATGCATTTGTATTGTAAATAACCTAATCAATACTAAATTTCAAATTTCCTTTCTCGTTAGGATTCTGCCAATTTGAAGTAAAACAACAAAAAGCATCTACAGATTCCTCTGAAATAGAATTTGTCAACATTCCTCTCATCTGCTACTTGCATGTAGAAATAAATTCATTAAAGTTCATAATTCAAAGTAAAATGTATTTTATATTTAAAATGATCATGAAATATGTATAATATATTTTCAGAGAAACTTATTTGAAATAAAGATTAGAAAAGAAATATTATTTAATACAATTCTAATCTAGATGCTATTTGCGTTACCTTCCAGCTTAGATGATCCGTTGTAAATTAGTAAAAAGTGACAACTGATTCAGTTACGAATACTCTGTCATACAAAATTTCTGTAATAATTTTAACCTTTATATTGTGTTTTCCCAAAATTTGTTCACTTACAGATTATAAGTAGGAATATAATTAATACTTAAAAGGTAATTCATCAAAAAATTAATTATTTTACATAACTTTGTATAAATATATATGTTATATGCAACAGTAATAACATAATCTCTAAAGTATATTTTTATTCCTTAATTTTTAACTTATAGTGATATTTGTTGTTGGAGTTAGGGAATTTTGTGCTTTAGAAGTTTACTTCACTTTCTTTGAAGACAATTACTAACGACACCTACATCTTTTGTCGTCTGGTGGTTACGTCGTCGGGTACGGCGAACTCCTGAAAAATGAACGTGATTGCCAAATCGACGAATATTGCACCCTTTGTGAAGGCTACAATTAATGTCATCTCCACGGGACTAAAACCGGTGGCATCAACGAGCAAGATATTACGCAAGGAATTTGTAATACCTTCGATTGAACGTACTACCAGCTATACTCTTTATCAAGACATTCAATTTCTGGGGCCTCTACGTATAACTTTGGGAATTGGCGGTATGTTATTTCAAGAAAATTAAATTTTACTGTTTATCTTATTTTATTAAAAAAAACGCTTATCAATGACTCTATTAAGCCTTGTAAATATTTATTTTTTAATTATAATTATATAATCAGTTTAAGAATGCATGTATACAATACGGAATTCTACATTATCGATCAATGATATTAAATATTAATAAACCGTAATTCAACAAAAATATTAATTACTACATTGGATTGTTACGATTGAATATTAATTGAATATATTTGATATTGTGTTTTATACTTTAAAAGATATTATCTTAACCAACGAGGTTAATCTTGATGGATAAATTGCTAAACATAACTATAGAAACATATAGTGGATCTATAATTCTATTTCAAGATACAATCTTTGAATATTGCATATATCCTACAATTATTATTAATGCAACACGTAGTTAGTAATCCTAAAAAAAATAAATATTAATTTTAGTACCCACTTATTTTAATATTGATTATATCATCAAGTTAATAAATAAAAAAATATTTTCAAAATATATAATTTAATATGTAATAATTAAAGAATATTTGTAAAGATTAGTTTATATCTTTATAATATTCATGATATTGGAAATATTTAAAAATATTTTTAGTAAATTCACAAGTAATGCAGCGAAGGTTAGCACACACTGACATTAAAGTCCCAAATTTTGATTCTGTTCGCAAAGATAATTTTAAAAATCCAAATATTCGTAAAATGGACAATTCATCAACACCAAAAGCATTTTCATATCTTTTATCAGCAGGTAAAATATATTATTTGCTTACAATGAACACATTTAACATTTTCAATAAAGTTCATTGGTTTTTATTAATTTCTACAGGTGCTGGAGTTGCTAGTGCGTATACAACAAAAACATTTGTAGAACAGATTATATTTTCTTTTAGTGCCTCTGCAGAGGTCTTGGCTATGGCTAAAATTGAAATTAAATTAGATGCTATTCCTGAAGGAAAAAATGTTGTATTTAAATGGCGTGGAAAGCCTCTTTTTATTCGTCACAGGTTTATATAGATAAAATTAATCTCATAATTAATTTATAATATAAGAATTATAGCTAAATTCTATATTTCAAATTAAGAAATCCACATTTTTGTAAATATTAGATATTTTTTATATGTTCTTGTATGTATTATATCCATTGATAATAAAATTTTATAATTTAATGTTACTTAAAATATTCATAATAAGAATGAATAATAAGATATTCTATATCAATTATAATTTAGTATGTGGTTTAAAATTATTTGATAATAATTATAAGGCAAATTATATATTCTTTTTATTTTTGCTAAATTATTATTTCTATATTCAAGGAAATGAAAATTTTAATTTCTAAATATATTATATATATAATAAATATAAAATAAAAATATTTAAATGTAAATTAAAACTTAATCTAAAATATTTTTGAAAACTATTAGAATTTATTAAATATTTACATATATATTAGATATTCAGGATATCAGTAGTATATATTTACATATTTGAATACAGAATTTTTTTCAATTATTACTAAAAAATTATATTCATTTTTATATATAGAACTGCTACTGAAATAGAGACTGAAAGCAAAGTTGATGTTTCTACTCTGCGTGATCCTGAAGCTGACACAGATAGAGTACAAAAACCTGAATGGTTGGTTGTGATTGGAGTTTGTACACATTTAGGTTGTGTACCAATTGCAAATGCTGGTGAATTTGGTGGTTATTATTGCCCTTGTCATGGTTCACATTATGATGCTAGTGGTAGAATTAGAAAAGGACCAGCACCTCTAAATCTAGAGGTTCCTCAACATCAATTTGTAGATAATCTACTTATTGTTGGTTAACTTTTTACTTACTCCAACAAATCGTAGAAATATCACTGTTTTCTTTTTCAAAAAAATCTGTACAAGAAATGTTTTGATCTACAATTATTATCATCATAAAATAAAATTGCATATCTCTGTAATTTTATTGATTGGAAAATTAATGTGATAACTGTCATCAAAAATAGTGATGAAGTTGTACATTTTATAAAATAAACGTTAAATGATTTAAAATAATTAATCACAATATCTTTATTTAATTTTTGTAAAATAATAATAATAAATTTACTAATAGCATGCGATATAAGGTTTTTAAAATTGATTAATTAAAACTAATTTTTAGAAATAAATTTGTAGATAATTTCTGATTTATTTATTTTTGTTTATTTAATTAACCAAATTTGAAAAGTAGAGAAATAAAAACAATGAAATTAATAAAATTCTTTATTCATAAAATAAGGTATATCAATTAATTTAATAAAACTACTTTTTTAAATTAGTGAATGACATTATTCTTATTATAATTAAATATATAAAGATATCGAATAATTTTAATTTTTAGCGATTGAAATATTTACTTTAATATTATGCAATTATTTATATATGTAAATGTGTGCAAAATATGGATATAAAAGATAAATTCAAGAAAATATTCAGCAATTGTATTTTTATTATTAAGTTATCAACTAAAACTAATTCAATGATACGGGTTTAAAATGATTCAGATTAATATTTTAAAAATTACTTTTTTTAATACAACAAATCACATTAGTTAGATTAATAATTAAATAATAAAAGGAAGTTTATTGAATTAAATAATTATAATAGCTTCGAAGTTAATAAAATTATGCATCCGAAAGAAAGTATATAAAGACAAAGAAGCTAGTAATAAGATTACTAATCTCTAGATATCCAATATATTTCCGGTTAAAAACTAAAAATTGAAATGAATGCAATACCGTAAGGTGGCGCTTACAGCGAGCGCATCAAAATGTAGGTTTTTACGATCTTTGATAAAGTTAACTGTACAAACTCACCGAGTAGGGGTTGAAACGCGCACGTAATTCACATTAATTCATACGACAGTTGTCGGTCTTCTTCGCTGCCGGCAGCGTGAGTATGGCGCGAGTGTTAAGACAAGGGAAGGAATAAAATTTTTTATTTTCAAATCGTTAATTTTTTAGACTATCGTCTTGCGTCATTGTTATTCATGTAACAAATATTTTAAATTCCGAATTTTTGTTATAATTTGTATCAGTTCAAGAAACTTGTAGAAATTCCAGACTCAAACGAAGGTGAATTATGTTTTTGATTTATAGTAGGTTAGGTTTAATTGAAATAAATTTTAATTGCTTCGTTTTGGATGTAATTTGATATCTTATGCATGCATGTTCACAATAATAATTATATGCGGGTAAATATATATATGTACCCACAGATATATAAGTATATAAATGGAAATATATATATATATATATATATATATATATATATATATTTATTTACTTAATTTATTTCTAACCGTTATTTATTATTTATTAATTATCTATTTATTTATTATCTGATTACTTTATTGTGCAGAAAGGAAAATGACCTTAATATATTCATAAATTCTGATGTTAGATTATTTTATCGTTAAAATTGCTTTTATTTGTACATATCAAATACTGACTTTTTATATACAAAGTAGATTTTTATTTCAAACGAACAAAATGATTTAATAAAAATATAAATTTATAAAATTTATAAATTATGGATATTATTTACTCAATGTTAATTTAATTAATTTAGTTAATATATAAAAATCTTAAATTTTAATAAAGTTTTTATATATATAATTTTTAAATGCTTACTCACTATAAGTTTACAAATTTGTAAAACATTCTTAAGCAATAAACTTTTGTTTAATATTTATTTATTTTGATGAGTTTTGCAATATAAATAAAATTTTTGAAAATATTTTTGATCACTTTTATGATGAATGAATATTTTTTACATCTATTTTATATTGATATTTTTCTTAGTACTGTTCATTTAATTTGTGGGTAGAATTTTAGTTGAATAATTAAGTAGAATAATAATTAAATATATTTTATACAGTATACATATAATTGTTTATATGCATGAAATACATTTTATCTGTTTTTGGTATATATTAAATATATTATTTACTAGTGTATTAAAGTAAAATAAGAATTTTATTTAATAAGCAACTTATAAAAAACTTGTAAATTAGGAAATCTATATAAAAGTTTTCACATAGATTGTTAATCGTATAGAAAATATACGTACTTTGTTCAATGTCACCCCCTTAGTTAAGTCAAATACAGAAATAAAGTGAACAGGTAATTGAGCTCTGTCGTGAAGGAGTCCACAATGTTAAGCCGATATACAATTAGACAATGAAGATTTGGCTTTGGTACACATTTCTCAAACATATTTATAATTTTGATAAAAATATTAAACGCATTGTATACGTGTGATAGACCGAAGTTTGGCGTTTAGCAAGAGCATTGTAAAGTGCAAGCCAATAGCCGCGAATTGCAGAATCGAGTTTTTCCTTCTTGTTTGTCAAGGAGGGAGAAGGATTTGTATTCCCTTCGATCGTACACCGCTAGCTTCCTATACAAACACATGCACGGCATTCACATGTGTGTAAAGAGAAAATTGCAAGTGCGTGTGCTTTCGAAAGTGAGTGGGCCAACCCTTGGCAACGGAGAATCAATAGATGCGCATTGCATCTTACCCCTCTTTGCCTCTCATCCTTTTACCCCACCCCTCTTTCTCGCTCGATTCATTTCGTCGACTCCCCTTGCACTATATCGCTCATTTGGCCAGTGCCTACCTCCTACATTTTAGGGGCTCGGGAAACAATTCTTATAGTAGACACAGTAGGTACAGTACAAAAATACTAGCACACTTACGACATCTTTCTCCTTTATTGTTTGAATAGAGGCATCTCTTAGGACTATTACGTTTTTATTTACGTACATTGAAAAATGTATTATATTTACCCCTGGGACATTTTTGGAATTCTGTCTTGTTATCTTATTATTGTATTTTATTTTTATTTTTGGGCTGTCCTTTGAGTTTTCTTATCGTTTTACTTATTAAAAAAATTTTATAAGAAATTTTGTTTCTTCGTCTAATTAAATATTTGCAGTTTCGAAAATGTATATGCATGCATGATTTTACATAATAATTATAAAATAATATGTTATAGCCAATGCAATTGTAGGAAAAATACATTTGTAAAAAATTTTCATATTATCTAAAATTTTTTAAAGTTTAGAAAAATTGAAAATGTATCTTGCGTTGAAAAACTGTTAAATTAATGTAAAAATTGTATGTAATTAAATAAGCAAGCTAAATATTAAAACTATTACCGTTTGAAATTTTATTCCATAAATTATAAATTTATATATTTAAATTCACATAAATTCATTGTATATGCAATTTCAAACAATGTATTTGAAAGATTTAACATATTTTACATTTTATAATTTAATAAATTATCTTCTTTCATAAATTCTATTGAATATTATTTACTACTTACTATTGAACTATCTCTGAGGCTTTATTTTGAATTAAACAAAACTTTCTAAATTATTTGTATAAAAATATACTTGTCAATTACTCATATTTGATATATGGTGATTTATATGGTAATATCGAGATATTGCGTTTGATATGATAAAATTTAAATAAAATATAATTTATCTATAATATTTTATAATCTGGAATAAATATACACGATTAAACATTTATCTAATGTATGGATGTCTATATTCAATTTTAGCAATGTAAAGGTCCAATCAGATTATTTTAATTTTATTGTTATTATTAAAATTATCTACTATATTATTTTTTTGTTACAGATTTATATAAATTTAGTTAACGATATATTTCATGCCGAAATATGAAAAATGGGATATTTTTCTAAGCCCAGCGAACATCAGCAAAGGGAGAAAAACAATATTTTTTTGTAATGATTGTATAACTTTCACGTACGGAGGATATGTCAGGTATATAAATGTGTATCTTATTGATTTATTTTATATTTATTTAATATAGCATTAAGAGAAATATATCATAAACATATAACACTTTATATATAAAAAAGTATATTCTAAAATTTCTATATGATTTTAATCAAAATACATAATTAAATAAAAATTTACGGTTAGCAAATCGATGATAAACTTTTATTAAAAAATACGTACTTTCTAATACTTGTATTCGAATTTTCCTTGCAGTCCTGTTTTTGCCAAACATTCCTATTTCACACCTTGAGAATATAATGGTGAAAAAATTCTAATAAGATACCCCGCCCGATTTAATATTTTTAATTATTATTTTGTAACTTGACTTGTTCAATATATTGCATAATATTTATCTACAAATATGAAACTTTGTTTGATTTAGAGTATTTCTCCTCTTATGACTCCAAATAATATTACTTTTACAAATTCGTAAGTATATGAAGATGAAAATATGTGATTCTTTAATTTTGAAATGTTTTTATGATAATGGTATTTGTTAAGAAGTATCCAATAAATAATGAATAAAATTTTGTTTGAAAAATATTAAACTATGTTGAGTTTTTAAGCTATTAAAATATCCAAAAGTAAAACGAATAAATCTTCTAGTATTCGTGCGCAATGGATGCAAATGTAGATAACAGGCAGTGTTGCAATGCAATGCATCTCAAGGCTTTTTATCGATTTAGTCGATAGTTTATATCGATTTATATCGATAGGACGTTTTTAATAACATAAACCTTCATCGAAAACTTAGAAGACAGGCAGAAATTGAAAAAAATAAAGAAAACAAAAAAGCAGTCAAATATAGATACAAAAAATCAGAAACGTAAGTACGAAAGGTTATATACGATTTTCATATTGAAGGTCATAGGTGAAAGATTGAAAGCAAAAGTGCTTTGCTTATAGACTACCTTAATTACATTTGCGTTTGTGTTCGTGCACATATGAGTCCCGGACCACGGCGCGCTCAAGCTCGTAGAAAAATTTTAACGCATATACACACGTGAAAAGAGACATAGCATGGAAAGAGGTTAATGATTTCTTTTTCCGAGGTCGAGGACTGTTGCCGGGTACAGGTTGCTTCTCAACCCACCCTTACTTTTCTTTGCCCTCGCCCTTCATCATTCTGGACCACGGGATTCGTCTCGTTCTCCCTCCTTTACTTTCCCTCACATCGACGAACTTCTCACGTTGCCATATACCCCTACATCGAGTCAAAAGGACTGGAGGAGGGCTCAAGGGGTACAAGACTTATCCCCACTCCACGCGTATTTCAGTAGCGTGCCAACTAGGGGCGGTGTTCGTCTCTACGCCTCTCTTTTACATCGACGCTTAACCAGCGTTGATAAAAATGTAAATATCAGAATCGCGATTCATAATTGCGATCTTTGAACGCGTCAACCTTTATTTATTGTGATCTGAACTATTCCACAATCTTTTTATGTGTATATCAAACATGTATCAATTATGAAACGAATGGCAATTTTATATAAAAAAAAAATTACACTGAATCAATCATTTGCATGGGCGTACGCGCGCATGTGTATAGATATATATTCAAATAAAGAGCTAATAATATTTGTTTTATTTAGTATATAAAATTTTTAATATGACGAAGGTGAGAAGTTGAAAAAATTTAAATATTTCGGATTTCATTATGAATAGTAATAGTTATACAATCAGTTATTAAACTCCAGGTAGAAAATAAAAGAATTTACAACGTCATACTTTTAGAAAAAGTCTTCATTGCTTAATCTGCTAATGTTCAAAAAGAACATAAGTTAATTATTTTATATTTTAACATCCTGCCATAACACTTGCATAATAATTATTAGACAAATCTTAATTAAAGATATTAATGAAATGAAACACACGTTGCTTAATATCTTAAATACTACTTAGTAGATTTTTCATCTATATACTTAGAATTTTAATTTAACTACAAACAAAGATACGATTTCATTTTTTACTTACTTTCCATTGAAGTGTTGTAATTATTGTACTTAATATCATCACATTGATTTGACTATAATCATATATAATTATTAGTCTTTTAGAAAATTTCAAAACATTTAAATGAAAAAAGAATAAAATAAATTAAATAAACTTATTTTGCAGTAAAATATCATAAATGTAGAAAATAATTAATCGTCTACTTCTACAAATAATATTAACTTTAGGAATAGCAAAAATATCTCTTACAACATAATAAATTTAAAAATAGAATCAATCTTTAGTCTATCAAAATTCTTTTTTTTACAATTAATAAATAATTGAATATTTTTCTATTTTAGATAAATGAAAAGCTGTTACAAAATATTTTTGATAATAATTTGTTTAAACATTTTTTTTGCGATAAATTGTTTTTTTTATATAATATATCTTTTTAATTACATTAATGTATTCTTAATTAAATTGAATAGAATGTA